GGGCGGCGGGGCGGGACCCCGAGCGCTGCCGGGCGGGACCCCGAGCGCTGCCGGGCGGGACCCCGAGCGCTGCCGGGCAGGGGCACGGAGCGCTGGCCTGGCACTCGCTGCCCCGGGAGCAGTCGCAGGGCTCCGCCTGGCTCCGGGTTTACCGGATTGCCGACCCAAAAGGCAATTTGTAAACCCGGCCGTTTGTAGGGTGTCCTCTCCGGGCTTAGAGGAATTTCAAAAGATGGTCATCTGCCGTCTAACGGCAGTGGGGGTTTATAAGAAAGAGGTTTCTGTGTCAGTCTCCTCTCTCGCTGGCCTGCACAAGCTTGCTCCGGGCCACTGACCGCCTCCGACTTGCTGCCAGTTGGTTCTTTTACTTTGAGGTGTGGGAGGGATTTGTGTATGTGGGTGGTGATGGGCAGTGACTGAGAAATCAGCTCGTTTCCATGACCAAATCTAAAACCAAAGGTGCTAACAACAGTTCACTTAAACTTTTCTCCTCTTCCCCTTCAGAACCGGCAGGTGCTCATCTTCATGAAGGAAAGAAACACTAGAAGTTCTGAGTAGAAGTGTAGTGTTTGCCTCAAGATGCCCCAAAGGAAAAATAATCATCTGCAAGTTTCATCTTTCAAAACTGCCTGTGTTCTTTCAATCAAAGAGAAACGTTTTTTTAGAAAGATGACTTGTGAAGTCTGTGAACAAAGCTGTCTTCAGAAGGATACTGAATGAAAGACATCATGCCTTACAAGGGACACTTATCTCAAAGGGTGACACTGTGCTCTTAAACTAAAACACAGGCACTGTAAAAACACTGATCCTGAACAAGAATAAGTATTATAAAAACTGCATCAGAATGTTTGTTAGTCCCAGAAGAGTCAGAAAATGCCATTTTTTGCAGATATGTGCCACTTGCTTCATACTGTGTCTCATGATTTTTTGGGTACCGTTTGATAATCACATTGTGAGCCATATGAAGTCCTATTCCTACAGATACCTCATAAATAGCTACCATTTTGTGAATGACAGCCTGTCTGTCAGCAGGGATAACCTGAACAGAATATCAAGTTATCAGTACTTGATCAACCACAGAGAGAAATGTCAGCAGCAGGATGTCCTTCTCCTATTGTTTGTGAAGACTTCTCCTGAAAACCGCCATCGAAGGGATGCAATTAGACAAACTTGGGGTAATGAGAAGTACGTTCTTTCTCAACTTAATGCCAACATTAAAACCCTCTTTGCTTTAGGACGACCAACAGGCCATCTGCAGAAAACACAGCGACAAAGAGAACTTGAGCTCGAAGACCAGAAATACCAGGATTTGATTCAGCAAGACTTCTTGGATACTTTTCACAATCTTACTCTTAAATTGCTTTTGCAGTTTAGCTGGGTGAATGCTTACTGTCCTCATGCCAGGTTCATAATGTCTGCAGATGATGACATATTTATCCATATGCCAAATCTCATTGCTTATCTCCAAAGTCTCACACAAATGGGTGCTCAAGATCTCTGGATTGGTCGTGTCCATCGTGGATCCCCTCCCGTAAGAGACAAGACTAGCAAATACTATGTTCCATATGAAATGTACCAGTGGCCCTCTTACCCTGACTACACAGCAGGAGCTGCATATGTTATATCAAATGATGTAGCAGCTAAAGTCTATGAGGCTTCATTGACTCTGAATACAAGTCTTTACATAGATGATGTTTTCATGGGTCTCTGTGCCAATAAAATGGGAATTGTACCACAATATCATGTATTTTTTTCTGGGGAAGGAAAGGCTCCATATCATCCCTGCATTTATAACAAGATGATGACATCTCATGGACACGTAGATGATCTTCGCCAGCTCTGGCAGCAGGCTACAGATCCCAAAGTTAAAAAGATTTCTTCAGGAATTTGGGGTAGAATGTACTGCAGACTAGTCAATATTGTGCTCCTCTGTAAACTGTACTATGTGGACACGTATCCTTGTTCAGCTGCATTTTCTTAATACTTGAATATCTGCACTGAAGATCCACTGAGCCATAACAAAGCAACATGTTAGGTGTTTATCCAAAATATATGTAAACATGGAAAGAGGTAAAATTTACACATGAATACTTGGGGTGGGCAGAGGGAGAGAAAGAAGATGGTCCTAGGGTCCCAGATTCTGTTCAGAGACTTAGTGGAATAGCTCTCCTGTTGTACTTCAACTTTTTACATTGTAGCCTGTTTTTTTACACTCTTCAAGGGATGCAAGTCTGGATTATAAGTGAACTATAATGAACTTGACTTCTAGACTTTGAAATGCTTATTGCAAATACCTGTTTCTTTGAACTTGTCAGTAAGTCTTGACTGTTTTTTTAAAAGCTATGTGAACTAAGGCATGTGGCAAAAAAAAATCTGTTATATCAGAATGGAGTAGACCTTTCAAAGCATGAGAAAAGTGGAACTTCTGACTTGACGAATGAGACTATCACAGTAGTTTAAGGTAGCCTAAACTCTACAAATATTCACCATTTCTCAATGCTTCATACAAAGTCAGTCTGGACCTGCACTGACCTGCACCTGGAGCTGACAAATAGTGAGTTCTAGAAGTGAAGACCTGCTACAATTGTTTTCTCAAAGCTCCCTAAATCTTTGAAATAGGGAAAGAGTGTTTGGATGCCCTTTGACTTGGTGATTTTAAGTAACAAAGGAACCCCCTTTAGAACCTGAAGCTATAAAAAAACCAAATACTACTCATGTCACTGGTTGGGCTAATATTTCTCTGTCTTCCAAAAACTGAATCAGCATATTTAAAAAGTCCAATCTTTAACAGGAAAATAAGTTGAGTTAATTTTATTCCAATAATGCTTCTGTTTTCCAATATTCTAGAGGTGAAAAGCAAGCAAAAGTCCCCATGCATGTTACTTAGAGCTAGTTAAAGACTTAAAGACTTAAAAAAGCAAAATTTCATGCTTGAACTAACAGAGAGGGAAGATACTTTCTGTACAAACTTTGACTTCACGTTGAAGGGATAGGGAGATGGTGATTCACACAAACTCAGTACACAAATCATAATAACTAAAATATTTCTCCTGAAGTCAAAATTGTCTTTAAAATATCAGGGTTATTTGTGTCCACAAACTCCCCATACCTTGAACATATCTCAATGTTAGTATCACTTGCAAAGGAACAAAATGACTGTGGCTTTGTAAACCAAACCAGAGCTAAGTGATGTGCAAACTGCAGCCCTTATGAGTTGTCCTGTGGTGCCATAAAGATACTGCAGAGAACCAGAGTTGTAGGCTTCCTGCAGTCCTTGCACAGCTCAGTCATGCTGCTTCCACAGATTCTCAGGACAGATATCTTAGTTGCAAATTGCCAAACCTGTGGCAGCTGTACAGGAATTGCTAGTTTGAAGGTGTGAGTAGTAAACTTGGTTTAACTAACTGCTACTGCTCTTGGAGCTGTGCTGCAGGTTTTCTGGTTTGAATGGATAACAGCATCTGTCAGTGCAGACAGAATCCAGGAGTGAGCCTGCTGACTGTTCTCTAAGCTGTTCAGATGGAGGGTAGGTAGCTACTGGAGCTATGTCAAGCATGTAACTTTCTATAAGTGGTTTTGAAGAAGGAAAGTAGTAAGATTCCTAACTGGTCCCAAATGTTGGGCATATAAAGAGCCCACAAATAAATAATTAATCAGTGTCAGAATGACTGACAAGTATAACAGCTATACTTCAAAAGGAACAAATCCAGTTCCTTTTCTTGCCTAAACAAATGGATAATAGTACTGGGGATGTAGATCTATATAACCTGTTGCATACAGAGAAAATAAATGCACATATAGAGAAAGTATTATTCTATATTGAAGGAAAGCTACTTCATTGGATTTCTGACTTGTTGTGAGCCATTTAAATCAAGAAAGCTGCACAGCAAAACTGCACTGCTAGAAAAGCCACCCTGTTCACTGAAGGGAAAGAGGGTCTTCATATGCAGTGTGCAACCAAAATGTACTAGTAAGACCACAGTCTTCCAGCATATCTACGTGTTGGGATTTGTTTTCACTCATACATGCAAAAGTAATTTTTAAGTAGCTTTAACCAGCTAACATCTAAAATGCTGCTTAAATGTAGTTGCCATTAACTGAAAGTCACTCTTGACCATTGAAAAACTTTGTTTTACAGTTGGCTTGAGCTTTGTTTGGATTGTTCTTAATCTTAAAAGGGCGTTGATGTTTGTAGTATGCATTTTCTTTTGCTGCAGTGAAAAGAAGTTGCTTGTTGAATAAAAAGGAAAGCATGAAGGCACTCCTTTCAAAAAATAGAAGATACATAGAAAACTTCAGATTTTCTCGTTCTAAACACAAATTAAGATTTGTACACTTCCATCAGGAATCTTTTTTTAACAATAGTCTCAGTGCTCCAATGCAGGGCTGATAGGTTTTACTTCTACAGATAAAACTCTTATCAGCCTGAATGGTCACTCCTCATTAAGAGTTTGACATTGTTGCACAGCATATTTAATGCTATTTTTTTTTTACCTGTTTGTTTGGTTTGCATCAGTTTCCCTTTGATATTACTAATTTTTATACAAAGTATTCAATATTTATTCTTAAACTTTGCTCTGTACCACAGAAAGACAGTTGTTTTGTAAAATTTGTTTTGAATAAACAGACTTATTTCTTTTAAAAAACCTAAATAATACAGAAAAGGTAAATATCTCTTGTTGCTTTCTTTGTAACTGACAAGATCAATTCTGATACGTCTAACTGTTGTTCCAAGTTCCCTTTTACAAGAGGGCTTCAAACTGCCCCTCATTCCCCCACTGCCCCTGGTGTATGCAAAAGGCAAAACTGGTGTTCTTAAGTAAAGGGAGAGCTCACAAATTTATTTACCAAGCTTCTAGGCCTAAAGTTTATAAAATTGCCAAGTATTAGCAGCTGAACCTGTTGTTATAATTTGTATGTTCTCTTCAGGCAGCCGCTCCCCTGGAGATGTGTATCTGAATACACAAGATTTCAGATCATACTTTGCACCTTTGGAAAAGTAGCTGATGGTCTGGGGACCAGACATGGTATTTTTATAGGGTATAATTACATTCAGATAATTATGATTTGTATGTCTCTCCAATTTGTCTGACATAATGTATCAAGTTAGGGTTTTTAGAAATTGAGTCATTTGCATCAGGTAATTCCAGTGTATGAGACAGGGGCATAACTAAAGCACGAATTATCTAAATGATAGTGAAGAAGAGAACAAAGGAAATGAAGTCAGGATGGTGGAATTTGGCTTCTTGCAGGGTGGGTTTTGTTGTGGTTTTTTTGTTTTCTGGGGGTTTTGTATTTAATTGTTCCCTTCGGCCTAGAAACTGCAGTTCAGCTAAAATTTGGTTTGCTTGATACTTTTTGTTGAAGTAAGTGATTTAAGTATCTGGTGCTTTAGAATGCATTGTTAATAATCTTTCTTAAGATTTTGCAGAAACTTGAGCTTGCAGTTAAAAAATCCAGAAGCCCCTCAGAGATATATAGTCAAACGTGAATATTCTGAATGTCATGAGAGAATCTTTTAACACCAGGGGTTTTTGTAAATACTTGCAAGCTTATTCTAATGACTTCTTCTCTCACATCTTGTACTTAATGCTTCTAAGAGAAAAAAAAACTGTAAAAAAAGCCCCAACCCAAACAAAAGATAACTAGTCAAATGTGAATATTCTGAATGCCATGAGAGGATCTTTTAACACCAGGGGTTTTTGTAAATACTTGCAAGGCTTATTCTAATGACTTCTTCTCTCACATCTTGTACTTAATGCTTCTAAGAGAAAAAAAACTGTAAAAAAGCCCCAACCCAAACAAAAGATAACTTATTTGCTTTTCCATCTGATAGACTTGGTATAAATGCAGGGCTGTAAGCATTTCAGTGACTTCATTATTGCTAATTATTTATTAAACTTGGTGAACTTCAAAGAGGTTGTAGAGAATGTACTATAAATGCAGTGATTTGCATTCTAAGTAAAAAAATATAGTGGCTCATATGTGCAGCCTTACCTCCTCCTTGATGACAAGTTCTCATCACTTTCACTGGTCACCAGGACTCTGCTAGATCCTCCTTGACTGGCTTCATGCATCACTTCAATCTGAATGAGAAGGACATGTTAAAACTGAAAATACTTAAATTGCTGATACTTTTATTAAGAGAACTTTAACTCTTTGAAAGAATAGAAACCAGATCCTACCTAACCTAGAAAGTCACTAGACAAGTTCAAATAATTGAAATCTAGATGTGCAGGAATATCTCCTATTTATATTCTCTGTCCTTGCTCAGTGTTGGCATGGAGGCATTCCTTACTCCAGGCAAAGTCATTATATTCTTGCACCACAGAAGGTGAATTATCTCCTTGTGTAGATAATTACAGGCATAATATGTTCCTTAGACTCTTGAATACTATTTTTTCATTTCCTGTCTGAAGCCAACCCAAAGACTTCAGAGTCTTTGTAGAATGTCTTTGTAGAAAATGTAGAATATTTTCAGAGTTCTTTGCAGAATGTCCTGTGGAGAAATCTGTGACTCCTCTGTGTGCCTCTGAGAAGTGTCAGTGTCCCAGCAGCAGTGTTGGGTGAGGCAGTGCTGAGCACAGGTACCTGTGCAGAGCCCGTGCCCAGGCTGGAACAGAGCTTTTGCACAGTTCCAGTGTTTGTTTTGATATATACTCACACACTCCCTTGTCCAGTCTTGCAGAATTGGATCATTTCAAATGCTCTCCAGGCAAGTTTTAAGCAGGCTTTTCCCTCCTTTTGCCTGCAGCTTTAAAAGCACCAAGCACTACTTGCACTTACTCAAAAGCCAATCTCTTCAAATTCAGTTAAACAACCCATCTGCTGAGTTTGCTGTTAATCCAAGCCAATATCTAAATCCCAGCAGAATCCAAGTTCCTGAGCACTTTAATTTTTAAGGGTTGATTCTTACATTCTATATTCTAAATTATTTAGCTGGTTGATGATATTGATGGAATCCAGTAATGAACTGTCCTCATCTGAGCTATTATCAGAACAATGGGAGGAAAGGAGGGGAGGCATAATTTGCATTGTAGTCTTGGGAAGTGGATTTAAAAATTAATGAGTGGATGTTTTATAAACATATACCGTGTTGCTGCATACACCTAAGCATGTGGCAGGAATGTAACTGATTACATGCATTACTGATGAGAATAAAACTGACTCTAAAGTCACTTTCTGTGAGTTTAGGCAAAGGGGAGACCACCTGTATGTTTCTGCTGATAACTGTGTTTTATTCTGTGCTTTCTACTGAAGTGGGCTGTGCTGGCCATTTCAGAAAATGGACTGCATTTAATTTTTGCTTTCAGCTTTAGAGGAATAAAGATGAAATGTATAGGCAAGTCAGGGGTGTGGGTAACAGACAAGTTGGGCCAAAGTAGCTCGTCCTTATCAGAGAGTTAACTTAGAAATACTCCAGGTTTATTTTAATTCCAAGTATAGGTATGTAAATCTATATTTATGTGGTTCTGAGTTCTCTCATAATATGGGATGTCCCCAAATGACAGGTAATCCTACCTTAATTCCACCTTTTGTCTTCTTAATGCTTTTCTTTTTTGATAACTCTACTTCAGAAACAGTCTTTGGAGGGCAGGAAATTTCTGTAGACCTCCTGTTGGTAGCTTAAAGAGTAAAAAAGAAATTAATATTAGAAAATATGCTAAAAGTTAAAATGTTATTTCTTATTAAAACCAATGAGCAAAGTGGTAAATGAGACCTGGCTTAGAGAACTGAGCTGTGCTGGAGCAGTGATGGACTGGGTGGAACAAGGGATGTTCCCTTGTTCAGTGCTGCATTGTGTCTCAAATTGGCATCTTCAGCTCCACAGTAAGGATTAGTTTGGTTTGGCTTGCCCTGGGCAAACCATCTTTCAGACAGCACAGGTAAGTGTTAGCCAGCTATACCAACTTAGGTAATTCTCACTTGCATAGTTTGTTTGTGTGGGTTCCCATGAAATTTTGTTCTTGGTAATGGCTTGCTGGTTGATGTTGGATTAAAGGATTTTTCCCTGTAAGGTTTCATTACATGAACAACTCTCAGAAGAGTAATCACAGAAGTTCAGTAAGGCACAATGACAGGTGTGTAAGGACAGAATCTGAGGATATTATTTTGAAGTCAAGTCCTTTTTTTCTGGCAAAACTTTCTAATTGAACAAACACTTTTTCTAAGAATAAAAGCTGGTGTTTTCAAATGTATCTGGCAACATTTTGTTAAAAGAGTGTTTCACCAAGTTTAATGTTTTGAAGTGTTGAGGGTCTTGATAGTCATTTACTTCTTTGGGAGAAGCTGAGGGATATAGTAAAAAAGATGCAGACATCTTTGAATGAGGAGGACATGATATCAAAGGTTTGATGTAGGAGAGGTCTGAATACTTTTTTAAAAGAAACACCTTAACAAAGTTTTAAGTGCCCTTGTCATTATATATTCTATTAAAGCAGCTTTAAAAAAAGGCAAAAAGGAAGCACATAGAAGCACTTGAAATTATATTCAGTTAAAAAGACAACGTATCAGTTTCACAGATAATAATAATGCTAGCTGACATTTCTTTTACCCTGTGTCTTTTCAACAGCCTTATCACACAGCTGGGAAGAGAATTAATTAAAGCTGCCTCTCTCCAACTCTTCCCTAATCTTCTTGGATTTATCCAATGCTGAATGACATAAGGACTTGGCAATGCCCATTTCATGCCTGTTACCTCCTCACAATGACTCCATACTAGAAAGTTTCCTCAATGAACAGTGAAATCTGGCAGTCACTAGCAGCTATAATTGACTAGTAGAGAATTCTTGTGGTTCCCAGGACTGAGATGAAATGCAAATGTCCCTTTTTGGCTCTTCCATCACTCTATCAGAATATACAGCAGGGGACTTGTTTTGATTTTGAGCACTACTTCCAAGAAATACTTTTTTTCCCATCCCCAGGCAGGCTTTCCCTGAAGTAGTATTTGCTCTCTCAAAGGTGGTTTTTTTTCACCCAAAAAGTGGTGTACTGACATTTTGGAACCAAGGGAACAAAAAAATGCAAGATGCAGCACATGGAAGCTATTGATCCTGATTGTCAAACTTCTTCATACCTTTCTAATCTGCAGGGACAGTGACTGCTACTGTTGGCAAAACCAGACTATTTGGTAAGTTTTCAAATGGGTCTGTTTATGTGTTTTCCCATGGCTCTATTCTCTGAGTAAAGTGTCTATAAGCATCAGCAAATTCACCCTTTTTTTGTATTGATAAACCCTGGAAATTCTATTTAGCCAAGAAGTCTCACCTACCATGATCATTACAAAATAGGATGTGGTCAGACCTACTACACTAAAAACTATTACCTTCTGGAGCTTCTCCCAACTATATGTTATTTATACCTTGAAAAATCAGCATGAAGAAAACAGATATAAGACTTGGCCACCAGGACATTGTTTCATAATCTCACCCACACCTGAATACCCTAGATATGCTGCCAGTGTTTAGTTGCCCTCTCTAAATCTGAGTTCAGTCCACTAGATTGCTCTACAATCTAATCCACAATTTTTCTGGATATGTCACGGAAATAAAGGGAAACAATGAAAATAACTTCAGAAAACATGAGGACTTTTGCTTAGAAGACCATAGTCAGCAATACCAAGCTGTTTGGCTTATTAATTAATCAGAAAATTTTGTAGCTTGAAGGGATGGTTGATACTGATATGAAAACCCTTGCTGAAAGCAATCAGCAGAAAAAGTGGAGATCAATTACAACTTTGATGTAAGGATCACAATTTACAAGCTGAGAAAGCTCCAAGTGATTCAGGAAAGAGAACACAGGGCAGTTTAAATGAAAGATGACATTCACAAGAAGCCAAACTGCAGGTACTCCTTGATCCAGTAGCAAATTACTCAGGTCAGTTCACAATTTGAGTCTTGGTTTCTTCAGTGTGATATATTTCAGAAAAGGAGACAGGTACAAGATAAGAAAGCCGCCAAATTCAGCTGAATTGATTCATATCGACACAGAGAACTTCCCTTTCCAATTTGACCCAGAAATGAACTGAAAATAGGAAACAAGCTGCTTTGGTTATGATTTGGAGAATTTTCCAGTTATTGACTAGCCCATAGTCAGAAACTGCTACATGTCATGGCATTTAAGTAGTTTCTGGAGCAGGACAGAAAGAAACAGCCAAAATACCTGCCAATTATTATTGCACTAATTACTGTCGAACTGCAAATACAAGGGAAACTCCCTTACAAAATTCAAGGTCAGTACAGTCTTGTCTTGCTGAAGAAGCTGAAAATTATAGTGTTGAGCTGCCCATTGAAAGAATAAAGGCACAGGAACAAAGGAAAACTAGAAATGATCTAATGTCTGCATGGTTTCTAGGTTGTTTTCATCCTGTTGTTTCACAGTACTCCCCTGGATGATACATAATGATGATTTCATTTTGAATTCATTAATATTTTAAATTGCTTGATGCTGCTTTTAAAGCAAATATTGTCAAAGGGCATGGTAAAGCAGCATTTGGGTCTGTCACTTGCATTCACCTGGAGCACCATTACACTTTTCCAATGGGGCTTTAGTACTGCTTACTGGTTTTTTATGAACAAGTTGCATGAAAAGAATGGAATCACTGTTGCATTATTTAGCCTACAGCAAAGGGTAAATGGGCTGTGTATCCCTAAAGCTGCGAGAAAATGACAGAGACTCATGTGCTCTGTTTTACTTTGCAGTCTCTCCACCCCTGTAAGATTGAAATAAACTCAGTGAGGAAAACTTGCTGGGCTGCTTGTGAGAAAAAGCTGTGGTTTCACCATTTCCCTCCCTGCTCCTGCATGGCAGGACACAGGCACCATCTCTCAGGTGCTGATCTCTTACAGAGGGGGCTGCATCCCCCACTGAGGGACAGACAGAACTGTGGGCAGCTCCCAGGTGCTCAGTTACAGCTGGGTTAGTTCACCTGGGTAAGTGACTAAGTTAGCTGCTGCTAGAATAAATGTAACTCATTAGCAAGAGACACAGGCCATAGTCAAGGGTTACGATACATACTCACCACCTGTAAGATTTTCCAACCCCCCCTCAAGTAAATGTCACACTTCACATTCAGGTTTGGGGGGAAATCCCACATCACATGTTTTTCCATCTGTTTTCCGTATGGGTTTGTGCATTCTCACTAATCACCTACAGCACAATCAATTTCTTTTGGCAAGAACAAGCATGGAAACAACTAGTCTGCTAAACTTTATTGGGGCTTGCTGCTCATGCTATCCAACAGGAACATGAGTTGGAAGATAATTAGTGGCTTAATTGCTGTTTTGAATGCTGGTGATGACAAAACAATGTTTAGGCAACTAAAGAAACCAGAGCAGCTATGGTTTGTCACTTAATGGCTTAGGACAGAAAGACTTTGCCATTCTTAGGCAATATAATTTAGACTTCTTTGCTCTAGAAAAATTTCTGTCAAGTCTCCTGAAAATTTCCTGGTATAAGAAGCACAGAACGAGGAATACTCTTGTACAAGGAATCACTACTTGGTTTCCTCAGACTGGCCCAATTGTAATAGCAGTCCCACAGCTACAAAACTGAAACTTCAATTATAGAAATATACTGAACCATAGAAACTAGTGGTTTCTCAAATCATTCATGAAAGTGACATGCACCACCTCTTCTGAGTCAGCTGATCTCTCCACAGCCCCACTTCCCCTGCACACATCCTCAGACTCTTGCAAGAAATTCTTCCTTTATCCTCTGTCCAGATGTTATTAGTTAGTGAGTGTTATGCACTAGTGACTGTGAGGAATTCTGGACCAGATCCAATGAGCAGTTGTATACATTTAACTGAGATGGAACCAGCTTAAATTTTATTATTTAAAGAACTGAAAAGGCTCCAGCTGTGTTCCCCCCTTATGAATCTTGTGTTCCAAGCTGGCCTTCTAAGATGCTTGTATGGTGAGTCATGGATTTTGTATGTGCAATGTGCTCTTAAACATGTTATTTGTTTAACAAGCTCACAGAAATTTTGACATCTCTGCTCCTGTATTTCACATTTATGTTGCACACAAAGAGCTCTCCAGGTGAATATTTTATAGCACTTTTTGCTGCCATGTTCCAACTTTTGCCAGAAAGGTAACTAAAGCAAGACATTTTTCTTAACCACAGTCATTGAGATGGCCAAATCATCTTTTACTGAAATTTTCCAAGAGTGTGTGAGGCTGAAGGAATAGCCTTTGGGAAAGTTTCATTTCAAAGAGTAAGAGTTTGGGAGAATTACAAGCAAATTAAAATAGATAAATGCTAACTGTTTCTAATAGCTTGTATTATCCTTTACAGTTCTGTAGTTCATCTCATTGTTCCTGACAGACTCTGTGGTTTGACTCTGTGCACCTATTCTAATTCACTCTATGCTAAAGAGTTTTGCACAGAAATGCAGAGAACAAATATGTAGTCAAATCATAAAAAAATCATGCCTTCAGAAGTGAATCAGAGCAAAAATATTTCCCTATCAAGCGCCACTTCTTTCCTCCCAACACATATAGGGTCAAATGTAGCCATTAGCAGTATTCAAGCAGCTTTCATTGGGAGAAAACAGAATTCTCCTTAAAATAAGGTGTCATGCATGCTACTTAAATATTTTCAAGGCTCTTATCATAAAAAGGTCAACAGAGTTTTCTGCCTTTTCAGGTTTGATCTATCAATAATATTTAATCAAGTTCTCACAGCTAAAACATGCACCAAATACAACTGGCACAGATTTTTCAGCATCATAATAATTCCAGGACTAGTACTTCAGTCTTGAACGAGCCTGTCCCGCAAAATATAGAAGTCCACTTGTAAAACCAGAAGCATCGAGCAAAGTTGAGAATAATCTAAAACTTTTCTTTAAAGTTTCCAGACCCATAGAAAAGTGTTGACTGAAGGAAAGTCAACTCAGCTGCCTTTTTTGATCTTCACTAAGCTAAAAGATTGCTGAGATTCTTTTTTGATCTTCACTAAGCTAAAAGATTGCTGAGATTCGTCAGAAGCCATAAGAGTGTGGACATGAAACTGTGACAGTCCCCAACAGAAACCTGCTTTTTCTCTCAGACATGGTATCAGCTGTGCCTGTGTGCAGAAAATCCATCTTTGCCTATGTATTTGTCCATGTAAAATGGAAAGACTGACAGTTACAATAATGGAGTATTTAATGTCTGAGCCTCCATATCTGTGAAGATTTTTCCATTAGCACCCTGAATTGGACTGAATTTTCCCTACTGATCCCTGTTAGGAAAATGGATAGTCAGCAAGGAAGAACAAAACAAAATCTATTCTGGAACAAATGTAACTTCTTTTCCTTTCACAGACCAACCACCCCAGTGCTGCCATGGTATTGTTACTCTGCTGCCTGGGGACAAAAGCCTTTCTTTCTGGTCTTCTATTTCTGTTTACCACATTTTATTGCCTTTGCTTGCCTTTGTATTTACACAGCCTAGGAACATGGTATTTCCCTGTTGTTACATTTTACTTTGCAAGCATTCAGGTATGTCCTGGGTAACAAATGAAAAATGAGTTACAAAACCTGTTTTGAGAAGGTGCTCTAAGCCTGTCTCAGGTTTTCAAGATGTTCAATAAATTCTCCCCATAAGTAAGTGCTGATAGTGCATTGATGCCATGAATGTGAAGAAAGGACACAGAGGAAAGTCCAAAAGAGGGTAGCTTCAAGAAGAGCAGAATTTCACAGCCTCATTTTAAGCCTTGGAATAGGACTCAGTGTCCCTGTTTCTATTCTCAGACACGTTTCAGAGTCAGACTATGAAACACCTTGGTGAATTCCTCGGTTTATCTGTGCTTCAGTTTTATTTCTGAAAAACAGAGGTTAAAAAACTACCAGTACTTCCCAAGTGCTTTGGCATTCTGAGGGAAAGGGCATATACACGTACTGTTCATGGCTGTTAAAGTCACTGACTGTGAGTCCCTGGATGAGCTGTAGATACTTGTAGATAGGCACTTCTGTTTCTTTGTACAGAGGTACTCTCGGTCAGTCACCTTCAAGAATCTGAATGAAATGGCAGTCTGCTTATCAATGTCTGAACAGGACTGGGTTGCACTTTGCACCTCCTCACAACTGAAGCAGCATTTAAAAATAAATCTCACCTACCTATTATTTTGCAACAGGACATTAAAGGCTAAGCCTTGTCACACAGTTTCCCTATATGGGGTTGTACAATCATGAACTGTAATTCAAGGGATAGAGGAAGGGAGCATCTCATGACTCTGAAAGAGCTGATAGTATGTGGGATGGGCTGTATGAACAAGAATCAAAATTTAGAGCACTGTCATAACCTAGTGACTGTTCTGTAAGGTTCTATCTATATCAACAATTTAATTTAAAGATCTGCAACTGTGCTAAAATGACAAGAAAGAAGTTCAGGAAACGGTTCAAGAGACTGCATGCATAAACAGAATGGCAAGATTAGCTTTTAGCCTGAAGATGCAGTTTCACAGTAGGTGAAAGCCACCCTAAAACTGTGCTGCCAGTGACAGGAATTAACTGGCTCTGACCTACTGACCCATAACCCCATTTTCTGCAATTTCCTTTGCTTGAGCACTTGTGGCCATGCAGGGAGCAATCTGATGAACTCTGACATTAGTGCTGCTTGGAGCAGGTGACTGGGCTGTGTGATCTCCAGAGCTCCCTGCACTTCTCTAAGTCGTGCAATGGAAAAAGAACTACTACAGTTCTGCAGTCTGTTTATTCAATTTTCAAGGCAAATCACAACTCCAGCAAACTGCCTGCCCCAGTGCAAGAGGGGAGCGCAGTGCTGGAGGATGTGTGCGTGGCACAGCAGGACCTCTTCACAGGCATTGTGTTCTCAGCTCGCCTTAAACCAAAAGAGAAGCTGAAACTTGAGGTAGGAACTGTGTATGAGAAACACAGATAACATGGTTTAGGGAAAAAAGTACAGATGTCAAACCAGCATGGGAACGGGATGATTTTCCTTTGGAAGAAAGGATGAATATTGAGGAGCAATATTGGTGTGACTGTGCTTGTACGCCTAGAAAGCAAAATTGTCAGGCTACTGGCCATCTTCCTATTGAGAAAGCAGTTTATTGAATGCTCTTCATGCAAGTTAGAGGGGTTTTTTAAGGCTTTTTGCTACATGTTTCTCTTTTGAACAGCCCTAAGGGTTCCAAAGGGACAGCCCTTTCCTGCCCCCCTGCACCCCACGGGGTGGCTGGTATACAGTATACACTGTTTCAAATTAGCTTCCCCCATGTTCCTTCTGCAGAAAAGAGCTATCTTGGTTAGCACACGCTAACCTCAAATCAGGAACTTTCAATAATTTCCAAACAAGCAATGCTCAGCTTCTATGGTTAGCAGAGGACAAGGTAGAAAGTGAGCTTACATCTAAGTAGAGGGGGAAAAACAAAAACTCCACAAATGAATCAGTGTTACTCACTCATGAACCCTTAATTTTGCAGATATCTGATTGAAACCTGAGGAATTATTACACTTGAAAGGCAAATATTCACATTACATTATCTGCAGTGTAGAAGAGGTTCTTATTGCAAGCTTGCATTGACCACCCTGGCTTGGTATTTGAGAATTAGCAATACATGACACACTGAGACACAGTATAGAGATGCACCCTGTAGATCAGACTTAGGAAGAGAAACCTGGTAGGTTTTTTGGTTCACTCTTGCTGCAGTGAGAGATATTTCATATTCATTTTTACTAGCTGGGCCTACAAGGCTGACACTGCACATCAAATTCAAATGATCATTCTGATAACAAAAATAAAACATGACCATGTGGACAAAACATTGGTGTGAGTCTGAAAGCAGCTGCTCATGGCCTACCTACTGCTGCTGGTCTGGTAATCTTTGGTGATGCTCGCTTTGGGGAAGATTCAGGATGTGGAGCAACAGGTTGTACTGGCCGAGTCTGTTTGGCTGCCAGCTTCTTCAGGCTTACTTGCCTCTTGTCAAACATTTCTTGTACATCTTCAAGTTTTTGTACAATTCTTTGGGCATTTGCCTTGACAAAGAAAAGGCAAACAACAAATGGTTGTCAGTACTGGACTGAGCAAGTGAAGAAAGGACTTGTATTACCAGACTCAGACTAGAGCTGGAGATCATCACACTGTGCTGCAGTTTACTGCTGTCCAGTCCAGGCATTCTGCCCAGATCACAGTTTCACTGACTAAGACATGGTGATTCAAGCAGTGCTCCTAGCACTGCTCTGAAGAAAATGACATATGTGTTGCATGACTACTCTTATGAGTAAAGCTGACTGCCACAAATACTGACCTCTGTGCCCTTTTAGAGTAGGGAAAGAGGCATATTTTAGCAGAATCAAGTATAGTCCAGTACACTCTCATGGACAAAACTATTGGAAATTTTTAACTTCTAAGTGAGCACATCTGAGGTGTTCTACCTTTATTTCAGGGGTGAGGATCATGTCAAACTGATTGTAGAACTCCTTTGGGTTGGAGAGCTGGTGTTCCTTAGCTGTTACCAAGAACTTCTCAATTTCAACGAGTGCAGTTTCAGCTCCCTCTTGTGACTGGCACTTGTCCACAGCTTGGGAAGCTAAGAGGTAGATTCCAGCTTCGCACCATTGGCTTGCCTTTAAAGAAAAGTGGGGGAAGATGGACTTATCATCAATGACAATCCAGGTTGCCAGGTGTTGCTTTGACACTATGAAAAACAGATTTGCCCTAGCATGTCATTAAAGGGGATCAGTGTTACTCATACCATGCAGCAGTTCCTGCTCACAAGTCACCCCATCAGCATATGCAGAACTGAACTTGCTGAGCTAATGCAAAGCTCTGATATTCATGGTAACATTTACTGAATGAAATGAAGAAAAACCAAACTCAACTTTTTATCTTCATCATAATTACCTGAGCTTAGAAAACCCTTCATTTTTAGTAGAACCTTACCAGAGCTGTTATCTGAGAAGGTTTGCTCACCTTATCTAACTGCTTATGCAGCTCAAGAGACTTTCCCAAAATATCATACTTTTTCTTGGTCTCATTGGTAAAGTCATCACAAATCCGCCTGAGTTCAACACACTTTGGTCTAATGGAGTCAACTGCATAATGGTTGTTTTGGATGAGCTGTTCTCCATGGAGAGCTAAAGACTGGGCCTTCTCCAAAGGTTCCTGTGAAATTAATGAGAAAAAGCCTAAGTTAGAATGACATGCATATTGAGGACAATCCATCTTTGTAACTCTTCCTGTAGCCTGGAGGTCAGGAAAGGTTTGGAATATTAATATAGCTGATATGCCTTACTTTATATTTACATTGAAGGCCAACCTCAATGTCAATGAGTACATTGAAACTCGAGAGCTTACATCTGGACACCAGGAAGCACTTTTTTGTTCTGAGGGTGACCAAACACTGGAACAGGTTGCCTGCTGAAGTTATGGAGTCCACTTCTTTCTCCCATACTGAAGGCATCACTATACAAGGTTTTTCCCTACTTTTTCCCCTAGCTTTCCAAGTAATAATATGGAACTACTGGGTCTGAACAACCCTGGCTTCTGGAAATTACAATCTGTGTTTTGCAATTTAAAGTAATGACTTGTGAGACATAAAGTCTGGACAAAAAAAAAGGACAGTGACAAAGAAGTGTCTAGAATACCATGTCTATAGCAGCTAGAATGCTAAATTGATTGCAAACCTGTCCTTTCTCTTCCAGATGTTTCTGTTCCTTTAGAAGGTTCTCGACTCGAGTCACACTGTCTCCAATGTCAACAAAACCTGCTTGTGTTTCCATGAGGTTATCCAATGTCAATTTTACCTAAAAAACAGCAACAACAAAAACATAAAACCAAAACAAAATAACCCCACCCAAACCCCCTAACAAGATACTAATAAAAATTACAACAAATATTCACCTGCACCATTGAGAAGAGTCTGTATCTCAAGTTCAGTCTTTTAGCTTGTTCCAAAATGGAAAAGCCAAGGAATAAATCAATCAAATATTTTTCAAAGAGTCTCCCTGCTTCTCACTAATTAGGCCCACAAAGTTTTGACAATCTGTAGCTCCAGAGTTTATATTACTCCAGAATATGTATTACTCCAGTCTCTGGGCTGACAATTGGCCCTTCTGAACCGTATTCCCTTTACTCTGGTGGGATTGGAAAATTACCATCACAGAAGAATCTGTTTTTGATAACTTCACACCTAAATGCAAAATTATTTATCAAGAAGTTGGTGTTCCACATTTTGGCCTCACAGTCTGGCACTTTCCTCACTGTGTTTTATTCAAGTGTTGTAAGACATCTGAAAGCTGTCAAGACTTTAATTTTTGAATATTCATTTCCTATTTCACAATTAACATCTTCTCTTCCAACCTCCTTTTTGTACTGCCAGTATTCGCTAAGTATGGGTAGGATTTGACCTTATTTACAAGAGAAGGCTAGGCAGCATGAACAAAGAAATACCTCTCTAAAATCGTGTTCAAAGTGTCGAAGCTGCAGGCACTGTTCTAGTTTTAGATGATGCTTGGTCCAAAATTGATCAAAAGCTTTTTCTGTTTCATCCAACTGAGCCAACAACCTGTTAAGAAATTATAATGAACAGAATGTACTTATTTCCTATAGTTCATTTCTTTTAAGTTACAGTAATTGATGGGAGAAGGCAGAGCAGGGAGATGGTGAGGAGCCCTACATTTATGTAAGAGAGTTCTGTGTTAACTCTCCCTTAAGCAAAAGAGAATGAAATTTGCAGTAGGACAGGCAGGAATGTGACAGGTGAGTGACAACTACATGGATCTACTGTGGCAGTTACAGTCCTGCCTCCTGATGTGCAAGAGGGACTCAGAGCTGCTCCATGTGCTGGCAGCCAAGGGCCACTGTCACTCCCTAATTTCCACCCAATGCTTCAAAATAATTCATCCCCAACTGATGCAGATTGAATATGATGCAATTATTATTATATGGAAGGATTAAAGCAGAACTCTACAACTTGTTAATTTTCTTCACCCATCAGAAATAGGCAAGGACTGAATCATTTTTCCCAGTCCATTAAAAACAATAGATTAGAAACTCATAATGACTCCTATGGACAATGTTTTACTCCGTATAAATGATGAAACAATTATTTGCAAAGACATTAATCTCAAGGTGTCATATCTTCAGTAAAATACCTGACACCAGACTAGTGAGTCATCCTCACAGTTTCTCAATGATTCATTAATTACAAAGTAGAACGGTTTTAAACAAGTAGAAAAAATGAAAAGGAAGTGTTCTCTGAATATCTTGTATTTCAATAGATGGGCATTCTTTGGGCAGATAAAGGATCAGTGAGTGCTGAAATCATCAGGTTATTGGAGCAAATGCCAATAGCTCCTTCCTATTCTTCTCAAAACCAAATTTCTGTTTTCAATCTGCCCCTGGAAAACTTTTTTTTAATCAAAGCTAGTCATTGAATTCAAGATGAATTCACAAATTCCTTTGGAATGACTTTTCAAAGGATTTTAAAATATTCAGTGAAAAATATCAGCTCAGCTTTACTTTTAGCACCTTTGTTCCCAGTGAATTCAGACATGCTGAAACCCCAGCATGGCATTTCCCCTTGCGCTGCATCACATGGCACAGCAGAAACTGCTACATGGTGACAAAAAGCTTTATGGTAATAACTAGCATTGTAGGAAGGGAAAGGGGGTTCTCTCTGGGTGTATCTCTGCAGCTGTGACACACACAATGTTTCAGGTATCATCTTCATCTGTTCCTCCCCCAGTGTTTCCACAGACACCCACAAGCACACCACCCTCTCATCTCACAGAGATTCAGGTGCCACTTTCTAACCAGACACAAAAGTTTGGAAGCCATATGTGTTATGGGGAAAGTGAGTCCCATGTTCAATCTTTAGCCAGATAGTTAGTGGTCTGACCAAAAATTACCAAGAAATTCAGGACTTGTTTGAACTTGCCTTGACAATTTAATCAAGTAACCTCCTCTAAGCCATTCCCTTCTCTGACTTACCTGTCCAATAAATCCTGAGTAGGTGAACCACGGGTAATTAATAACCTGCATAGTTAAATTATTTAAATTACACTTGCATCTCTTAGGAGTAAATTAGCAAGTTGCACAAGGTAATCTAGCTCCACTGACCTTTCCACTGTAGCCACATTTTCCAGTTCATCTGGACTGAGTTTGCTGTTGGCACTTCGGGTGACTGGCTCCCGGATGCATGTCAGTAAGGTGGCCCCCTGCTTCACTGCTAGCTTCAGCTCATCCTGAGGGAAAAAAAAAACAACCAAAAAACCAAATTGTGTCTACTTCTAACAGCACTCACATCTCTTAGATAACAACAGATTAATCAAAAAGGAGGATTCTTTCATAGGTACAAAACACTTGAAACAAAATATAAAGGCTTACCAAAGGTGGTATGTTTTGCTAGCAAATGCAGAGACCTATATCTTTTAACTTTAACTGAGAAAAGGAATAATTTCTGAGCAGATTGCATATCTGACCAGGCCCTTGAAGAATAAATTACTCTACACAAATTGAATGTATGCTGTAGATTGTGAGCCGAAAGACTGGGCTGAGACATTGCACTTCCTAATGGAATTTCCTCAAAGAACATTGTGCCATGCTGAGCCATAGTACACCAGCTATAAGAAGTCATCCACAGAAGTGTCTTCCCAGCATGAAAGATGAGCAATAAAAAGACAATGAGGCTCAAACATTAATTTGTCAGATGATGAATCCCCACATCACTGCACACTTCCATAAAAATTGTTGTTGTGCTAATATAGCTTAAGTAGTATTTTTAATCTTGTGTTTAATCTAAGGCATTCATTGACAGCAGTAATATTTACTTCTGATCCTTACTCTGCACAGCTAAACTAGCCCCAACTTTTTTTTAAACAAAATAACAGTCATAATCTAGTTAGATCATTCTGTCAGTTCCTGACTATCCTCACAGATGTTCTGTTTCTGCTGCAATGTAAGTCCATCCTTTCTGATTAACTCTTCATCAGGAGCCCATGCTATTCCAGATGTGATCCCATTACTCCCTCTCACACAGTGGAAGTGACACTTCCCCATTCTATCATTCCTGAAGTTGTAAAATGTCCTTTTCCACAGCTGAATGAAATTGACCTCCTGAACCCAGCTGTCTGTCCTCAGTGCTTTCCAGACAATGGACTGCCAAATGATGGCAGAGAATTTTGTTAGATCAGAACTCATCTATTACACTGCTGGATGTCCTGTCCATCACGGGGCAACAATCACCTTCAGCTTGCCGTGGTGCTCAGTGTGTGAAGAGAGAAGCTCCTCTGTGCACTGCACATCATTGGGAAGTTCAGTCTCTGCTAAGTCTGTTCCAAAGGTCTGTAGCATCTGTGCTGTTGTTTTTACTGTCATTGCAAAGTTTTCAATAGCCTGGAAAAGCAAAAGCATAAAGTCACAGATTAGTTATTTACCCATAGCCCTTTAACAGCACTTTGTGCTTCAGGCACACTGTGCTGCAAGTATTGCATGCCTGTTAAAGCTGGTCACGTTGCCTTTTTTTGGGTGGATGTGCTAGAAGTCACAAATTAAACCATGTATCACAAATGACCTTTTCACAGGTCTGCACATATTGTCAGCTCCGTGGGTCAAAGGGGAACTCCCAGAGCTGAGCAGACATAATGAAATCACAGAAGATATCAGCTTCAAAGCCAGGCCTGGAACTTCAGATCCTCAGCCCATGCTTGATGGGAAATTCTGCTGCTTTTAAAATTTTATTAAGGTTTTATTTAAGTTGAGAACTACTAAAATATATAGGGCAAAGTCATTATATTTATACAGCCATTGTTCACTCAGCAGTAATCTGTCTTTCCCTGACTTCTGAGTATGTGCATCTCCATCTTGCCTATCAGTATGAGATGAGTTCTAGTCCCTTCCTCCCATCTGTCCCTGCTAGTTCACAAATACAAGAACAAGTAACTACAAATACAGTAAAAATGCATAAATTCATCAGAACATTGCTGTTCCTTTATCACTTGGGTGCACCAACACAAAACTTGTCAGAAATCTGTGGTTTTAATGAAGAACAGGTAAGTGAGGAAGGCTAAAATACCAATGCCACCTTCTCAGAGCAGAATATAATGTTCAGACCTGTGACATGTGATTAAAACCTTTATATCTAGTATCAAGTAACTGCATGAGAAGTTTTTCATGATCATGCCCAAATTTTGGTGTGAGCGTGTTGGTCTGTACAGCTCTTTATTCTCTGTACTTTTTGATCTATACCCCCACTGGTCTGAGTCAGTCAACAAGCTCTAGGGATGCTCTTACACCCAATCAAACACTATGCAGTTGTTGCACACTGCATTCCTTTCTCCAGCAATGATGGGAATTCATTGTTTGCAACCATGACAGATGAAATTACACTGTGTGCTGGGAAAAACAAATTGGAGGTAAATCACCATTCAAAAGGTATAGAGAGAAATTAGCCCAGATTTGTGATCTCAAACATGCCCCCCATGAAGCAATGCTAGCAGAGTTCACGGCCTTCTTCCCTTTTCCCCCAGAAATTCATGTCTGCTTTCAACACAAGTAGTACAGACCCACATATGCTCTATCTCAGTGCTCTGCAGCTGTATCCTGCTGTTCTCAGCACTGAAACTACTGGATTAGAGTTGGCTGAAATGTCACACTTCTGACTGCAACAAACGTGGCCATCCATGACCAAAGGCCATTTACTGAAAGCCAAAAATGCACTCTGTGGGCAAGAAAGTCCATGGGCTTCTGGCAGCCAAGAGAGGAGAGCAGAAATAGTGAACAATGCAAGGAGGTTGCTGTGTCACTGCCATTTAGCCAGAGTTTAAAGCTTTTTCAGAAGAAAAGCACTTGCAGGACGAGATATGAGAACACTGAGAAAAGCAGCAAAGGACATGAAGACCATAGCTCAGCAAGATTGGAAGGACAGATTGTTTCAAGGTGCCATGGAAACTGACACTTTCCTGATGACAACCTCTTATCCAGCAGATATTCCTTGGCTGACTGCCCCATGAACTTGTCACTGTTTCACTCAATAGCATGCTTTCCCCCAACTCTCTCCTGTGTATATGAGCAATAAATTATTTAATGTACCTAAGTTATATCTCTGGATTATTTTTTTTCAAGTCTTTGTGTTTGGTAAAAATTTTTCCAACAAATTTAACCAAAACCTCTGAGGATTACACAGCTTTACACCCCTAAGTTCTTGGCTCATTTTTGTTTGCATATTTTACCAAACAATGTATTATCACTTTATGTAAACCTCTGTCATTAATAAATAATACAGCCTTTCTTGTGCCTCTTTTTATCTCCCTTCATATTTTCAAACCTTTTGCTCTTTGGAAGCTCTTATAGATGATTCATTTCTTCACACTCCTCCTTCCTGCAAGGACAGTTTCATATTTTTGATACTTTTGACACATAAGCCTGTTCACTCATCTCAACCCTAACCTCATTATAGTCAACACAGTTATAAATGTAGAAAATCAATGTTAGAAGAAATTCAGATTCTGTGTTTGCATATTTAGAAGCCTGAAATATTTGGTGGGTCTCAAGGAGATTAAAATTTAATTTTATAAGCACAGCAAAGCACAAAAAAGCTATAGCAAGAAAGTGACAAAAGTGGTTTGACTTTTGTCAAATATTTTGACATAAAAGGAGAAAAGCTCTTTTTATGGGTTAGATGTAACCTACCCATGAGCAACAGCAGGCTCAAACCCAGGGCTGCTCAGAATTTTGCAAAACATTCAGGTTCACATCAGATTTGGGATGTAAAATACCAATCTTGCAAGTAGAAACATTGTATAAACTCTCTGTGAAATTAATTACTTTTCCAGGATCATGACCCAGCTTAGCTCATTTTTGCTTAGGAAGAATGAGACAATATTTTGTCTGCTAATGTACCAGAGTTTGAAGTCTGGTTTTTGTGAACTGTCATCTTAACTGGGCACCGTAATGAATTGTTTATATTGTTTTGAAGCAGACACAGAAATGCATTAAACAGCCCAAAAAGGGAACAATCAAACCTGTACAAGCTTCCTCCATAGAATAAAAAAGTCTTTCTGCCTTCCTACTGACAACTGTTCTTCAGTTAGCCAAAATAAGACCTAGCTGGAGTGCATACTTGTATAGCATAGAAATGAAAAATAAAATATAGTGCCCTGATTATTTTTATTCTCTTAAAAGTATGGACATAATTAATCATTAAAGTGAGACTTTTGACCTTACTTTTGACCTTTGTAAAGTCAGCAAAGTGCTACAGCCTACTTTCAGTTTCAGCTGAAATCTATGAAACCTATGAATCCCATCAGTTATTTAAAAGGCAAGAGGATGTGCCCACAGGCCTTGCTGAGTAAGAATACCAGGACACTGTTAGGCCCTTGGCCAGGTATGCAGTGAGATACAATTACTGCTACCATGACAAACTGCTGGGAATTTGCTTTTCTCTGTTTGAGCCATGGATTTCCTCTTTCCCTGAGTCCCTATCAGAATCCATAGGCTGTAATGTAGCTGAAAAGTTACTGCCTAATGGTTCCTTTGCATCTGTCACCTGGACAGCTCTGGTACAGATGTGCAAGAAGAGCCCCAGCACTCACAGTTCGGTGATGGATCCACTGGCTGTGGCCGTACTCCAGGGTTCCTCCCAGCTCCCGGGTCAGCTGACTCTTGTCAATGTAGCCATGCAGGTCAGAGACAGAATTTAACATGATGATCTGAAACAAATCCAAACACACTGGACTGAGAGAAACGAGCCTTTCAATCATTGTTCCTAGGATCTGGGTTTGCCTTAACATTATGACCACTGCAGTTCTACCAGAGGCCATCAGTTCTCATTTTGCATTTTCTCATGCCACAGCCACAGTTTATTTTCCCTAGATTTTGCCTTCTCAATGTGTACACGGATCTTCTTGAACTAACTTTGGTTTGACATCATCTTCCTCCTTGCTGGGCTGAATCATTTTGCCTGTGCATCAAGAGCAAAAGTATTGTTGGTATGTAAAAAAAAAGTATGGTATTGTATGGTATGTTCACACAAACTTTCATAAAATAATTTATTCTCTAAATAACTTTTATTTACAGAGAAATGGAGGGACAGGGAAGTTAAACAGCTTCCTCAACACCAACCGCTTGATCCAGGGAAGTGCTGAAAGGAAACCGTGGAGAGTAAGATTTTTCTTTCTGTTTTCTGACTTTTTTTGTCACTGCACGTTCACTGAATTCACTGAAATTTTTCCATTTAAAATCATAATGGAAGAGAAAGGAGAGATAAACCTAGATCCATTTTTTTACTTTAGAATCTCCTTACCACTAGACTTGCTTGAAGAAAGCCAAATATGATTTGAGTTCAGCTTCAGATAAGCAGCAGTACCTTTTGGCAACCACTGTAAATTTGTCAACACAAGTGGTTACATAATAACACACATTTATTGTTGTTCCAACAGCTAGAATATATGCCATGATTTCAGCAACAGAAGAATTAAAAGCTGAACACAAATGACTAAGAATTTTAAATAAGTGTCAGAAATATGTCAAATGTGTAACTTGATCCTATTTAAAGAAAGCTTAAGTGGCTCTGCATGTCAGCAGGCTCCAACAGAGTATGGTAAGTGCACTGGCAAACACTGTGGACAAGATGAGTGCAGGTGTATGGAGACAAGAGGATGCATATTCCAGGCTAGGACTGCTCTAAGAAAAGCCTTGAGAACAAACCTGAACAGGTTTTTAGCTGACCTTTGTTACAGATAATTCAGGTTGACAGGAACTTCAGCTCTCTACTCCAATTTTTTTCTCAAAGCTGTGTCAGCTGAGATCAAACCAGGTTGCTCAGGGCTTTATCCATCTGAGACTTAAAAACATCCAAGGACTGAGCCTGTACAACCTCTTTGGGCAGTTTGGTCTGCTGCCTGTCTTTGTGGAGAGAAATGTCAAGTCAGAGCTGCACTTGTTTCACTCTGTTAGTTATTTCTTGTCCTACCATCATGCACAAGCTGGCTGCAGTGCCCAGCTTGGAGGGACAGGAAAGCTGCTGCTGTGTCATACTTGTAAACCCTCCTAAGCCTTCCCTTCTCCATGTAAGACAAGCACAGTCCCCTCAGCATCTTCTTACAGAACACATTCTCCAAGTCCTGACCTTCTTGTCTCTCCAAGATTACTCCAGATAAATATTTTCCTTGTACTAGGGGAACCAAAACTCAAGAGGGTGTTCTCAGTGTGATTTAATTAGAGCCAAGTAAAGGGGGTCGAGTGTTTGTCTCAACCTGTTGGCTCTGCTCTTGTTCATACTGCTCCTGTTAATGCAGGAGGCTGATGGCTTCCTTTGCTGCCAGGGCACACTCTGGCTCATGTACAGCTTGCTGTCTACCAAGCTCCCAGGTCCTTTTCTGCAGAGATGCTCCCCAGATAGTCAGGCTGCACTGTGAATTGTTGTCAACAACACAGCTGTTATGTTGTTGGCAGGGAAGAACATAAGTTCTTTCTTGAGGAAAAAATCCTTCTGCAAGGAAACTTTTTCCCAGTTGTAGGACTACTTTGTCCCTTTTGTATATATAAAATAATATGCTGTTCAGTCCATTCCTTGAGTTTCTGTTCCAGTGGCCCTGTCTTGGAGTATAGCACCTGTTCCTTCTGGTTTAGTGTCATCTGCATACTTGGTGCCAGTGAAGCCTGTTGCCTCTTCCATGTCACTGATGAAGGCATCAAACAGGGCAGGTCCCAGCAGGTACCACTACAACACTCCACTTGTTGCCCACTTCCAGGCAGAGTATGACCCATTACCATTACCCTCCTAACCATCATGAAAATAGTTCTTAAAACCATCCATCCAGATTTTAACCTAACTTGGATAAAAGAATACAGTGGAGGATACATCTGGCCCCAGGGACCTGTACAGGCTGAAAATTCTCAAGTAGGTCTTCATTCTATTCTTTTTCACTTCTAGTAGTTCCTCTTCTCCTTGACCCCTGTCTTTAAATGCAAAAATGAGGAGATCTTGTTGGTGAAGAAACTATGGCAAAGAAAGGTGAGTATCTCACACAAAGTTAAAGGAAAAACTGTTCCCTGAATGTGTTATGAAACACTGTTCTGCTATGATCAAAGCCAGAAAGCTCAAAAAGCTGCATCATCTTGAAAGGGCCTCACACTGGAACATAAAGTCTAAGTACTAATTCTGAATTGGAAGTTACGTTTGAAAAAGTAAGTCTTAACTGCTTTGTAGCTCTTCCCCATCAGAAATGCTGCTGACAAGTTGGAAATCTTCTGACACTTCAAACCTCACTGAAACCACAGAGGAATTCTGTCATACAGTTTTCTTTTAGGAAGAATTAAATGTTTGCTTTAACCTGGTATGCTCAGTATGAGCCACAAAACAAACCTATTAATGTTTCCAGCTATGGTGCTACCCTACAGGGCATGGGTGTTCAACACGCAGGCATTCCTGCAGGAGGAAACCTATGAGCAATCCAGCATCCATCTGATAAACCAATCTAAGAGAGCATTAGCATCTCCCATGCTGCTTGCCAGACAGAAAACAGCCATAGTCAGTCAGCTGAAGAGTGCAAGGGAGCAGCAGTTTAGAAGAGAAGGGTCAGAGTGGAACATGGAGCTGTGGGGGGGTTGCTTCTGGATGGGTTAGGTTGTTAAAAAGAAGTCACAGCTTACAAAGCTCAAGGAAGTGCTTGCTATGGACAGATTGTTCAGCCTTTTATGTATGTTCTGAAGATGCTTTAATTCATTTCCTATGACAAGAGGTTCCTTGGGTACATTTCTGGGTGTTCCTTTTGAATTCACAGACTTTAGTCTCAGATGTACCCTGCTGTGTCTCTTATATTTCTACATCTTGATCCTCATTAATGATATCTAATCAAACCACTACTCCAATAGAAATTTACCTGATGAGGTTTTATTACCCACATTTGTATGTAAATGTGATATAAATCCTGCATTTCCTTTTTGTGTCTGGTTGGTTATTTCAGCCTTTATTTCCAGCCCCTGTTTGATCTTCTGGTTTCTACTCATTCCAGTGTTGCTTTAACCCAGCAAATCTATTTTACTGAACATATTCTCAGTCTGATAGCTCAAATAAACTATTGAACAAATGTTTCCTTAATAAATACACACAATATTTTTGGAGTCCCTTTTGAATGCTCATGTCCTGACTCATAGCTGTGATAGGACATGCCACCCATCCCCAGGCCAATTATGACATGAATATTGTCATAGGGCCAAACACACAACACAAACAACCTGCAAACAATTTAAAGGATCGTGGTGATATTGAAGATAGGTCCTGATCCCTAATTCATTGAGTAAGGACATCTCCAATGGGACAAGAACTCTCTGGTCTTGTTCTCCTGCTTGGCATTTAGGATGCTGTTTTCAAGGAGGACAAACAGACATCATTCTCAGTAACTTCCCCACTCTGAAACTGGGCTATACAAGGACATGCACAGATGGTATTTTTAGGATGGGCTGCAACACAGGAGAAAAGCCCCTCCAGAAAACATGACAGATCCCAGGAGCTTAGAACAACTGTAGTACAACCCTAAGCAACTTAGAATATCATCAGACATATGTGGGCAGCCTGTTGGGCAGGAGGCAGGTGGATCCAGCAGGCATGTCATGCTCTTAGTTTTTGTTAGGCTGTTCTCTAAGCTCTGTGGACATACCCAGGATGGCTCAAAATATCCAAGACAATCCCAAACTAAACTAATATCTTGATTTTCCTGCCTATAAGAAAGGAAAATTACCATTTCATACTTAATGTAGTGCTTGACCCCTGCCTAGAATTAACCTCTCTTCCAACTTCGATCTCTTCCAAGTTTTGGAATGCAACTCTGATGTCAAATAAATTGCTAAAAGTATAGGAAATGCTGAACTGGTTGAAAATGCCAGTTTTTGATGAAGTTGTCCCTTTCCAGGCTGCAGTCTGGTACAACTGTTGCTATAGTAACAGATTGTGGCATATTAAATATAGGTACATACATTTTTTAAAGTACTATAAAATATTTCAATTTGTATTCAAGCATAATTTTTTTCATCAATTTTGCATTTTACCAAAAAGCCACCTTTACCAAATGACTATAAATGTTACAATTTAACCACAGTAATTAAATGTATATTCATGGTTCCTTTTCTGCATGCACTGAAACAAACAGCTGCTGTCTCTCACTTCAGGAGAAGCAGAAAGTGTTTTAAACACCTGAACTTCAAACTCGAGTTTCAACAGAGCTAGAATTTGTTGGAGGACAGCCATAAGTATTTTGCAAAACAACATAAACCCAAAAGCAAAATCCAAAACAGTCATCTGAAATTCCTCCAGTAAAGTCACTGTGGAACTCAGTATGAGTCTGATGCAGGATGAAATATCATCAATAATCATAATTCAAGTTTATTTATAAAACTTTAAAATTTTTGACACCAAGTGCAAACATGCAGCTAAAAACAACTCCTTAAAGACCTCTCATAGAAAAATGTCAGACTCTTTGTGGACTGATAACCTTCTTCACATCGCAATCTCATCAACATACAGCATATGCCAAGTGCATATAAAAACAAGTAAAACACAAAGTCTGAATCTTGAGGGCATGGGAATCATAAAAGACATTCAGCAGTCCCATGGATAACCCATCAAATAATGCAGAATTCAGCCCTAGGCTTTCACTGCTCTGTAGTCCTGAATACTTATGTTTGTCACTGAAGTGGGATCTACCTCTGCCTACACAAAGGGGACATCTCCACTGAGTTAAAATGCCAGTACTTAAAAACTGAGTCATGTTTTATAGCTAGACTGGATATGGGAACATGTCCATTAACTCTTCAGCATCACCACACAGGCCTGGATGAAAGGCCCCAGGTGCCACTTGCAATCCTGGGTTATGAAAAATTGCTGACAGCCCAGAGCTGCAGAAATGGAGATAAAGAAAACGCATGGACAAAAAACTGCATGCTTACCGGTACCTTCATTTTAAAGTCATCTCGATAGAGTTTAATGCCAATGTCAGCGATTGCCCTTTGGATAAAGCGGGAGGGTCTCAGGACAAACACCAGCTGCAGGTTTCCTGGAAATGCTCCCTGCAAGAAATATAGAATTATTAGAAGGCACATTTCTACCTTACCAGGGAATTTTCAGCCAAGTGTTTCCTCACCAGGGCAAAGCAGGTAGAACTTACTGAATCTTGCTCAGTCCAGCTGCTCGTTGCATCAGCTGGTCCATTCAGCATGTGCTCGTTGTCACTATTTCCAAACCCAACAGGAAGATTGACCCATGGATTTTGCTGCCCAGCCACGTATTATTTCATGATACACATTTATCACAGAGCTCCAAAGCTCCTGACAAGTGCCTTTCTCTCCTAGATCCGAACCCCACCAAGCCCCATTTGCACCACCACACCAGAGGGTTTCCCATTTTTTAGGCTGTAGCCACTAGAGGGCAAAGCTGGCTGCCCACATTGGACTGGTGAGGGAAGCTGGTAGCGCAGATGGATTCCCCAGGCTGACCTACCTATTCACTCTGCAAAGGGTTTTCAATCTTTTTAACCTCTCATATTTTTACACACTGGCAGGCACTCAACACGTTCATCAGACATGGCCCTGCCTGCAACACCCAGCCTACTTCTCTCACATTCCTCTGAGCTCATCAAGCATAAAAAAGGAACAATTTCTTGAAGAGAGCAGCAAAAAAGGCTGAGAATGAAAAATATTTCTGTCTAAATACCTCGAAAGAACTTAAAGTTGCCTTTGTTATTTTGCCATCCTACACCTCTGTGTCTAAGTGTTTGGTCCTCACACAGTAAATGCTCCTAGTAAAAAATGTATAAAACCAGCTGCTTTTGTAGCGCTGAAAATCACTGCCCAGCTCTGGCTTTTGCAAATGAGATATAATAAGCTGTTAAGAGTTTCTGACAGAGATCATTTACTACTATGCAAACACAAATCCCTTGGGATCTATGTCTTTCATAAGCAGGCCACGTCATCCCTCCTCAGGGCACAGAAGGGGTACCTCTTATACTCCTCCAGGAACCAACTTCAAATTACTAGAATTTATATTGCAGTCAACCCAGAAAATAAGGAATTTCTCCTAATTCAGCAGTAAACAAGACTATGTAATTTGTCTGCAGCTTCCTCCCTCTCTTATTTAACACTTATGAGCTGCAGGGCCAGGGAGAATATGCATCCACAGCCAGAAAATGGGAGCTTAAAATGAGCACAGGAGGCTGAATCGTGTGCTGAAGGTTTAGCAGACAATTTTAATTTCTAGAAGATAAATAACAAAAGCAAGCACTTACTGCTATTCGTGTCAGGGATGCCTTGACTGCACTCCATTTGTCCCGTCGTCTGTCTATGATGATGATGAATCCGATGCTGGCAGCCTCCAGACTGCAAAACAGATGAAATAGGTGTGCTGGGTTACAGGGAGATACTCCCGTTCCAAGGCAGAGAACTGCAGCAAAACACAGCCTCCGTCACACCACGCTCGGAGCCCATTATGAAAACACAACGTACAGTGGAAAGAATGAATATTTGGCAGAAACGCACATGAAAAGGAAAGCCAGCAAAATTTCTCTTTCCAGCGTAAGGCTAGCAGCTTACACAAAACATGAATATTTTATCTGCTGAATCTCTCAGCTGCTGTGCTACTCTGCTGACAGTCTAGGTGACATGAATAGTTCAGGATCACAAATTACACTGTGCTCTTTTGAAGACAAAACCCCCAGATTTTTATTTTTTTCCTGCAAAATTAGACACTCCCCTACAGTCTTCATTCTCCAAGTATGCTGACACCTGACAGGGGGAACTGAGCTGCAGGGCATCAGTATCCCCTGACTTGTGTACAAAAAGCCCCAGGAATTCTGGTAGGCAAAGCAGAAACAGAAGAGCTCTATTTTGCCAATCACAAAACTGTTCTGGGGTTGCAAGTCATTCAAAACTATCCTTTTCAACATATTGGCTATAATAACAGCTCCTGCTCCTTCTCAGTGCTTTTCAAGGAGGATCTAGGAGGCAAGGACTTGGTGCTCCATTTCACCTATGTAGATCTCTTAAATACCCCATCCTCTCTTTCCATCTCAAAAATCCCACTCTGGAGTACAAGGTTTCAGTGGGACTCCTCTTTCCTCTGCCCTCCAAGAGCACTCAGCATTGGAGAAGCTAAGAAGTATGCACTGACTGTCCAGAAACTTCACACGAGCAGGAGGGCTCAGTCATCTCAGGAGAAACCAGAGGCAGGCAGGAAGAGTATAAATGTCATAATCAGAGGACATACTGCAATCAAATATCTAATCACAGATTAATAAGAATGAAATTGTTTAAAGTATCTCCTTGATCCCTATTCCACTGTCCATACAAGTATCAACCCAGGGACACCATTTCCATGGGTTCTTTTATCCAAACTCATATCAATAATCTACTGAAGACCATCCATCAACACAGTAACAACTCTGAGCTCTTGCTGAAGTTCTGCAGGATCAACAAATGAAAGCCAAAGTATTGTGCAAATCTGGGATGCCATGTGAATGCTCCTGGTAGTTCATACTGCAAACGGGAAAAATCACTGAATTTTCCAATTCAATATTTTTACAGCATTCCTCTGAGGATTACAAAATTCAATGACAATACATGACCTTTCCTCTTTAGTAGTGCAACATGCAGCTCTCTGTAGAGGACAGAAAATGTGTTTGCAGCTGTGCCTCTCAAGCACAGGGAAGAGAATTAATTTGTTTTACCTTTTATAAATACACAAACATATACATACACTTCAGTGGTCTTAGATATACACAAACACATACACGTCCTTCAATAGCTCAATAAATATTCCACAGAATAAAATTCCTTGATAGTTTTCAAATACAGGCAACAAAGATAGTGTGTGTTGCAGATTGTTACAAAAAGGGTGAGAAAATAACCACAAAATCTCAACACGGGGCCTTCACATTCAAATGATGTTCAGCATAGCATCAGTTGTTGTCACTGAGATAAGCCAATGGTACTTGTATGTTTGCTTTTTAATGTGGAGGATTTTTGTTGTTTTGCTTGTTTGTGGGGTTGTTTGTTGTTGTTATGGGGGGGGGATTTTTTTTTTTCTATTTAGCTAGATAGGACTGCCTGAAGTCCTAAATTTATCCAGGGAAACAGAGAGAGTGTCAGCAAGTGATCCTATTTCAACCAGCATGCTGAAAGGCCATGCCAAGGTCTGAATGTCATCTGGCACCAAGAGATGGATGCAAGCAGTCATGTGAAGAGGTCTGGCCCAGATGGCAGCATCAGCACAAGTGGATGTACAGCTGAGAACCCCCGCCCAAGTGCACATCCAGAGAAAGTTTGTTTAAAAACAAGCACACACACAGAGTCTATCAATGTTTTCTCAATGTCAGTAGTGTAATATTGCTACCCTCATTATGAAAATGCATTGGGGTTTCTCAATGTCCTCTGAAAAGAAGGATTTGAAGACAATACTGAAGAACAGATACTATCAGGCTCCCCCAAAATAAATTCCGGCACATTTGCCTAGATGGACAGATGTCTGGAAGAAAGGTTCCCTTTCCCTGAATGAAATATCTGCAATCAGCAGAACTGTTCTATCCTCTCAGCTCTGTATTCAGGTTAGCCCTTGAACACTGACTTGAGATGTTGAATTCCCTGACCTCTTTTGGAAAGAGAGAAGGATACCTGTTTATCAAAGTACTTAATCCATGTCACGTTAAAGAGAAAGGAATTCTGGCCATGGAACAAAGCAAGTAAAAAAGGGCTTTCTAGAGCTATCTAGTGCATGCACAGAGACATGCATGTGCATACACCATGTTACCGAGTGCCTGTGGATGTTTTTGTACGCAAACCCCTTTGGTGGAGCACTCTCATGAGCAGGTGTTGAACCACAGGGAAAATGAATCAGGTGACAAAAGTCTCACTGGGTTGATCTTCAATCCTGTCATATGTTTTGTCATTAATCATTCCAGAGGGGCTTAGAAAGTTACTAACACTAAGTGATGTTATCTGCAATCACAGAGCTTATCTCCACAACTAGCATGAACCTAATTTTACAGGATGTGCAAAATCAGGCACCATAAAAGACAAGTGTTCTCTCTACATTTGCCTGGAAAATTATGCTGACTTTTCTGGCTCACAAAGCTCTGAAGAAGGAAGTATTTTCTATGATAAATAGGATGAACTGCTTTTCAAAGTGTACCCCATCTCACCTGATTCATGGACATACCCTTTGTAACTCCAGAACAGTTAGAGACTGTTCTCTGCTCTTAGTCACTTCATTGGATACCTTCACATCCTTCTTGAGAATGAAAGTAAAAGATAGACTACAGGCAGTGAAACTACACGCAGAGGAATCCTATTATATTACACACACCACTATCTAGTAGAGTAGTGCTGTCAAAGGTAACAATGCACACCCTTTACTGCTTGCTAAGGTACATGGCAGAGACACTGTGTGCATGGACCAGCCAACTGCAGATTGACAGGGCTGCACCCAAACAGATCCACTACTTAGGCCTCATTGAGTTTGAACTCCATATAATTATGCCATAAATCACACAAAGCTTGCTGCTCAGATTCTTCTTCTAAATTAACATCTTTCTCCCTCACCATTTACAGAGATTGTGGCAAGTTTCAAATAGCAACTCAAGAAATGCAGGCAATCTTTCTAAAAGCACTGCAATAAAGACTAGAAAATTCCCTGGAAAACTCACATCCCTACAGCGTGGTCTATGATGGAACCTAAGAGTCAAACCACTGTGCTGGTATGCAGAAAATGTACCTTCAAACCACAGCTTGTCATTGACCTTGAACAAGTCATTTAGAGCAAACTGAACAGTCACTTACGCAACACAAGTTTTGGTAAGCCTGTCTGTCGAGTGAGATATTACTCATACATACCTCATCATCTGTAAAATAGGTATATCACAGCTCTCCTGACTTACAAAGTTTTGAAACTCAATCTTTCATTCCTTGCACATGGCTCTGGGATTCCTCAGGGGAAGAGAAAACACAGAACTGAAACTGAATCAAAGCAAAGGCCCATCTAGCTCAACACCCTGACTGCAGTGTTGGTAGATAGTGGCTACTGAGGCAAAGGCAGCAGGAATATGAGAAGGAAAATATTTCTCTTGGTATATTCTCCCAAGTCCCAGCATTAAGGAATACATTAATTTCTTCAGCCTGAGTTTGCATTTGAGCCATTGTGTCCAGCTGCCATTGATGGAGCATTATCCTTCATGAATTTGGCTAATTTCTTTTGAAAGCATCTGTGCTTTTGGGTTTCACACAGGCTGAAGAAGCTCAAAGCATTTCTATCATGTTGACAATGTAACATGATGGTTCCCCAACATGTGACAAGATCACTGAGAATCATCTCCCTGCATACCAAAGTACAAAGAACTGAAAAAATTAGTTTTCTGGTTTTCTCAGCCACTGCTGCTGCTGTATATAGCCTGAAGCTGGTCACCCTCCCAGTCCTGAATCGAGTAAAGAAATATTCAAAACAGAGTTTCCCCTGGCAGAACAAAAGTCCCACAGAGCAGAGTGAAACAATGAAGCTGTTAAGTTCACAGTATGTGGATTCTCTCAGCTTGCTTTGGCAACTCTTTGGCAACAACTTTGGCAAATATGGGGAATATACACGTAGGTGGAGCTGTAAAACTTCTCACTCAGACTTGAAGGAGGCACATTTTCTGCTATGATCCTCTAAGCACCTTTTTACAGAAGACCACAGGAAATAATAAATCATTGCTGTGCTTCTCACTAGCACAGAGAGCCATGGTCTACAGACAGGATCAGGGGATTGAAAAAATATTAAACTCTCTTAGACAAACAAAAAGTAATTCAGTAGTCATGCCTTAGCACATTTCCTCAGAGCAGGCGAAGTCAGTTTCAGTATCCTTATAAAGCTGCAGGCAAAAAGCAAGGAAAACATCCTGGCTGTGGAGCAATCTCCAAAGAAATGAAGTACCAGAAAGAACGTGGTGCTTGCCAGAATCCTGTCAGTGGGGCACCTCACTTGCTTTTCCAGCAAAGGGAAAGCTGCATAGAAAGATGCACTTGGAATAAGCAGTCATGGGACCTATGTAAGTGTGGCTCCCTCCTGAAGCAGCCCTTCCCTCATTACATCCAGTAATAATCCAGCCCCTGAGACTTTTCACAAACAATCCCTCTCAGCTCCCTTTCATCTTTGCTGCTGCTCTTCAGATCTATTCCTGCTCCAATTCAGTTCAATCCGCCCTGTGTGAAGCTTTCTTTTCCATTCAGACACAATTCCTGGGGCCTCCAGTAGATAGGGAAGTTTCATAATGACTGGAGAGATACAGAGGCACTAGTATGTACTGGTAGGACCACTAAAATCAGCGAGCCACTGGGGAAGCAAAACTCTCTAGAAAATCAACAGAAATTTGTGCTCCTCACCTGGGAATGCTGGTTAAATACGTGACCACATTCAGAAAATCGTCATCGGGTATCTCACTGAATCCTGCAAATTCTGGAAAGGTTATAATGGGTGCCCCATCCTTCCCTCTTCCTCCTGCAAAAGACAAGTCATAATGTTCAGAAGGTGATTTTATGCCTTTGGACAGACTGGTTAGTACTCAAGTGGGAAACACTGGCGTATTTCTCCTTGTAAAGCACCCAGATGCAGTAACTGTTATCAGCTCTCATCTGATATAACTCACTGTAATTTCATTACCTCCGTTTACTCCAGATGAGATTTTAGCCTTTGAGATTCTCAGCTTTTTCATTTATCTTTTGCACAATTCTGATTAAGTGCTTTTTTTGTTGTTGTTTCCCATTTCCAAATAATTTCTTGAGATGATATTACAGTATTTCCCTACATATAGGTACAGCACTGTCCAGTTCCTTCTAGACATCAAACAAAATGAAGTAACAGAGCATACAAACTTTGAATACACACATATAGACCACAATACAAGCTTGGAACCAATCCAGACTTAGATCTTTCCTTAAGAATGCTCAACATGCATGGAGGAATTTTGCTTATCATGCTTATTTGCATCAAACCTCTATTAAACAAGACAGGAAACTACAAGACTCATAAGCAATAAGGTTAAGAAGAGTTCCTTTCTGAGGGATTCCCTGATGCAGATTCAGGTAGAGCTACAGGAAGCATGGAGCCAAGCCCACTGGAACAAAGCAACCTTTACAGTTCTCCTGACACAATGCTCAGCCCCAAGAGCTGCTGTAGTCCACAGCACAGACCCTGTTTACTTGGAGCCCCAATCCTAAATTGGTTCCACTGGCAAATCTGGGCATCACTCCAGCCACACAGAAGTTATGAGGGGTTTTCTCACCAGCTTGGGCTCAAAGCTGAGAGCAGACTGAGGAGGCAGCAGCACATAAAGGAACATGATGAAACAAAGCTTTTGTTACAGGTACCTTATTGCTTAGTTCTCCTTAAACAGGGTATTAAGGGTATACTTTTCCCTGAGTCTTTCTCCTTTTTCTGCAATATTTATGTAAGCCTATTTTTTGCACCAGGCTCAGAAATTCTCTAACAACCCAATACTGAGTGTAGTTCTGCTGTAGACACAGTTTTCTGAGTCATTGGGAAAAAAAAAAAAAAAGTGTTCTCATTCCTTGAAAGCACCCTCTAAATTCCCATAAATAATCCCTGTTTCCAGGCTGTTTGCATTCACCATTGCCTTTCCCTGTTGATAACCACAGCTGATGCCACAAACCAGTTTCTCCCATTCCTGTGTTGGAAAGAGGTGCTCCAGCAATTCTCTGTAGAGTGGACAGTCCCTTGCTAATCCTGCTCCTGACTCCGCCCTATCCTCACAGCCGTGGTTGGATTATTTAAAATCCCTTCTGTGCTGTCTGGCCATGGAGAGCTGGAATGCTGCAAAATGTTTGCACAAGGTAAAATTCAGAGCTCTAGAAAATAGGCATTTTGAAGAAAGAAACCCTTCTTCTTGACGTCTAGTGACATGGTATCAGCACATTACCTTTAGCCCCTCTTTTCCTTCCTGAAGGTTGATTATTGCTTTGATTGCATCTGAAAATGACTCAGTTGTGTTAGATCATTCACTAAACTCATCTTGCTAGGGAGAAAACAGGCCTACAGAGACTCAAAAGACTCTCAGCCAAGAAAGAAAGCAAGAAAGCCATCATTCACACTGTCCTGAACTGGATCTCAAACACTGAGTGGAGCCACAGCCTCCCCGCTGGCCTTGGGGTGATGCCAAATGCTGATGCATGGCAGCTGGATCTCCAGCTGCACTGTCTGCAGTCAGCAGTGATGTAGAATATGCTGTCATGCAAATTTAGTCAGGCTTTCCCCTGACTGCTGCACTCTAGACCAGGAACTCCAACCAGCAGGTAGTCAGTTAGGCTGCTTTGTTACAGATTCTCAGTGACATCTCCTGGACATAAATAGTAACAGCCAGGAAAATTGTCTGCTGTCTTTGTTCAGAGCTGAGTGCATGCCAAGGTATTTCATACTTGGTGTCTTATCAACATTCACAGGATTCTGGGCACCAAATTTTCCCATTCATATATTTCAAATATGTGAATATACTTTAAATGAGGGAGATGTAGTAACTTGGAATATTTTGCTTTAAAGCAGCAATATTTGCCACAGGAGGATAAGACAGAGATTCCCCTGGATCCCCTTCTTTCAACACCTGGTACTTTAGCTGCAGTTATACTCAAGGTTTGTTTAAACTACAAGTTTCAAATGGTACTTCTAATGCTCCTGCTGACCAGGATCTCTCCGTGTCCTTTTATTTCATCTCTTGCATCTCCATTCGTACATGTGCTCATCCTCTCCTGGGCTCTTCCCTGAGCTGCATGAGGCAGGCTGATGATGCACTCTATGTATGTGGGTATGTATTTTTGTCATGGGATCTTGTCCTATAAAAAGGCATCCAAAGAATGAATGCAAGCAGACTGAATATTGACTTCTTCCTTTTGCCGCTGGAACAAATCTAGGACATTTAGGAGCAGCCTCAGACTGAACATGCAACTAAGAGTCAGCAGCTCCTGCCTCTGACTAAGCCCTTAACAGCTCCTGATCTCCATCTCATTCTCCAATGTGAAGGCAACACTTCCTGCTGCAACCACACCAGAACCCTCAGATGGTTCAGCAGAGCTGTATTTCAGACAGGGAAATAAACAAGGAAACCTTCGGTTCCCACCACATCAGGAAATTTGGGTAATTTTGAGGGAGTTTGGTATTCAAAAATTGTTAAGCACTACGATGAGAAAAGAAATGTCTGAAGTGTTCAGTGACAAGCAAATGCCACAAATATGTTCCAAATGAGTTTTTCCTGCCCATATCTGAACTTTGAACAGTAGATGAGTTACAAAGGAAAATTATCCATATCCATTTGGATAAGGACTATATGGGAAGCTCCTTAAATGCCAAGGGTGTCTGGAAAGCTCTCTCCTCTGTATGAGAGAGCAATTCCATACATTCTAAATGTTAATGCCATTTTTTTCCCTGACACTAAGCCAAGAATTGCTGCAGTATGCAAATTTCTGCAGAATGTGAATTGACAAACTGCAGCCCTTTTTATCTCGGCTGTCAACCTTTCTTTCTAGGGAGTTGCCACAATATTTCTTCCAGTCCTTGAAATACTTTAGCTAGATACTACTCAATGCCTTGAAAGGACAGAGAGCACAGATTAAAAGCCAATAGGGAGAGTCTTCAGTCAGTTCCATAGTGGTAAAGACAGAGTACATGGAATTTGGCCCCAAGAATTCTCTGTATACAATCCTTGTGGTTACTCGGACTGTGCATAATCCCTACACTCCTGGGCATCACTTGTGAGAAGAGTCCAATTGCCAAGTAGAAGAGTTTACAGCCCATTATAAGTAAGGCAGATAGGGACAGAACAAGCTCCAGCAGCTCCACAGAACATCAGAAGAAAAAAATAATCCTCAAGAGAAAAAAAAAAATAAAATAAAATAAATACACTATCTAGAAAGTGAAGACAGGAGAGGGAGACAGAAGTGCTGAAGAGAGTGAGTCAATGAGCACAGCAGAGAGGTGAGAGGGGTCACCTTACAGCTGCCAGAAGCATTCTGTGCTGTTCAGCAGTGACTGTGCAGCTGGGCAAGGGACCTGAGGACTGCCAGGAGCAAAGGAACTCTTGAGCCATGAGCTGAGCTAAGGAGCTCCAAGGGAGCAGCAAGCAATACCTTGAGTTTAGTGCAGCCAGAAGCAAAAACAAAGACACACTGAAAAATAGGCATCAGGAGCATGGCTGTGCCTGGCAGTGTGTCCGTGCATGCAATGCCTGTGTCTCTCTGACTTGCAGCTCTTCCAGGCACCGTTAGATGCCACCCTGCAGCACTTCCCAAGCAACACAGCCACCCCCAGCACCTCCTGGCAGTTCCAAATGCTGGTGCCCAGCCAGGGAATCAGCAGCTGGTGGCAGTGGCCATTGCAAGCAGCAGCCACCAAAGCTGGAGGTTCAGCTGGCAGCAGGGAAGGTTTGGCTGTCCTGCAGCTGCACTAACATGGGGCTCGCTCCTGACTCTGCCTTAGGGCATCCAGGCTATCCCACAGGAGCCTCCCGTGGCTGGATCGCTGCTCCGCAGCCACACCCCAAGCTGCTCCATCGTAAGCAGACACAGAGTTTTGCCTGGAGAGGAAACCCAGTCAGGTCTCCTATGCAGACCTGAGCTCAACAAGCTGAAGCACAACTGATGCAAACAACAGGATCTAGAAGAGCAGAGGGCTGAACAGCCTGGTGAAAGGCAACACTTCCAAGGAAAATATTACTTGACCTCCTGCCTGGTTTGCAGAATGAGAATGACAGCACCTCATTCTCCCTCCTCCTGGGCACACTCCTTAATTTGCTCAGCTTTTCCTCTTCACTTGTGATGCAAAGGAAAAAGAAGAACCTGGATGACAGATCAGAAGTCAGAGTGAATGTGGAAGGTTAAGAAGAGATAGCACACAAGCTGTATCAGGGCTATACAAGGTACCCATGGTAATGGGACCTTCACTCACTCTTATGTGTGCCAATCCACAAAGTCCCAAGATGCAGAGCAGCATTCATAGCTGCCAACGCAGGCTGGATAGCTGCTGCAGTGAAGATGGGGCCAGAATTCAGCTGTGGAAACAAAACAGCTGAAGTATTTGGAGAAGGAATATAAGTGGGGGAGAAAAGGTTATGGCAGCTGAGAAAATTTAATTCTGCTTTGCAGTATAAAGGGTGTGACTGACAAATGAGGTGTGAGTGCTGAATTCTGAGGTCTCTCACAGCTGAACTGTATGCTGGTATGTCTGATTTAAAAGCAGAAAGCAATCAAAACTGCAGGCCAAGGCCCTGAATGCAATGAAGATCTTAGAAAATCTCCCACTCCTCAGTTCTAGTCCACCTATGCCTCCCACCTAGGCACAAAAACATCCATGGTTGAGACAATCAGAGGCTACACTGAAGTCCTGTTCTATAGCAAACAGCTCTTCTAACTAGAAATCACTAAATATGCTGACTCCCTTGGGAAATAGAACCAACACAAATGAAAAGCACCAGCCCAACAAAGGGGCTACGGTCAGGCGAAGTTCCAAAAGTTAGTCTGAAAGTTTCCAGAGCTCACCTCCCCAGCCTGCCACAGACACTAACTCATCAGTTAGTGTGGGAAAGTGTTCTCTCAAATGCTGCTGACACGTGCAGGCTTGACTGCTCAGGCCTGCCCACATGCAGAGAGCTCCCTGAATCCTCACAGCCCAGCCCTGACTGCAGTTCATCTCCTGGGTCAGACAGCCAAAAAGTCTAATAATATCTTGGCTGAAGTTTCACTGCTTTGGTCAGGTCTTGCTTTTTCCAAGCTCTGTTGTTTTGGTTTTCCATGTTGATTAAGGGTTGCAAATGATGAATTTCTCAATAAAGCATGTTTCCTGGGTCTCAGTTTTTGTAAAAGATCCATACTGTCCTTTTGGCAAGGTCAGGCCAGGTTTTCGAAAAGGCTCGATTTAAACAGGAAGCAGATGGCCAAATACCCTCCAGGCTTTGCAAATTAAATAAACTGGCTTCTGAGTCAGTTACCATTTTCAGACATATTCTCCCATACACTGAAGTGTGTTAACAGGAACAGAATACAAAGAAAATTATTCTCTCTGCTAATACCCTTCGTGACAGTTTGTCTAATAAAGTCGTGATTTAGCAACATGATCCATTATTGCTGAAAGTGGCAGATTGGGCATTTTGACAGAGTAATTACAGATAAGAACAGGTTGTGAAGCTGCAGATACAAAGTGGGGGAGGGGAGGAATAGTAGCAGTTCCAAGAGCAGATTGGTACAGCAGTTTATTAGTCTGTCAGCAGGACAGAAAAAGTATTTTACTAGTGGTTCTTTATTCTTGAGTAAAAACTGGTGTGTTAGAATAACCCAGTTTTCAGTACTACTCAACTTTGTGATCTAGTTCCCTTAACAGATACAGGAGACACACAAACCTAGCTGAGCACCCCTGTGTTGTCACAGCTGCAGTCCTATAATTGGGATTTTGGTTTTCAGGGAAAGAAAAGAGGCAGTAGCAGTATCAAAACTAGAATTTAACCACAAGAACCAGTATTCCTGCCAGATCTCACAAGCTAAGCAGTGCTAAATGTAGCACATGGGAAGAGAGATGACTAAAATAAAATTGCATTATTAGGGACGCTGTCACATTACACTGCAACCTTTTCCATGACTATAGTGGACCAGGGAAGGCTTTGGAGAGTTTCCCTGTTCTTGGCATGGAGCAAGGTCTTGATTAGTCTGGTAGGTGGAAGACCGGGTAATACATTCATTGTAACTAGACCCTGACAAAATCAAACACCGAACTCACTGGATTGCTATGTAATTCCTACCATCTGCTCAGAGACCACAAGACAGTCAGATCCTCTTAAGAAGTTTGCACACAGCAATAGTGGAGAGAAGTGTTTCTAATGAGTCATGTCCAGGGAAAACAAAGAACCTTTGATTCAATCATTTTCCTCTTTCTTTTCTGCTTTACTGCAAGGGAACATTGTGAGTTCATTGCCTCTGCCTCAGCTTCCAGCTGTTACTAAAAAGATGGTATTAACCAAAAAAACACTCATTTGTGACAAAGTTTGCAACAGCCAACCACTGACTTTCATTATTCCTGGACAAATGCATTTGGGGTCCACAGGACTAAATAGGAGAGGCTGACAAAGCTAGAGGCTGTGGAGTAACACAAACCAAGCTCAGTGCTACATCCTCTGGGCTCTGCACAGATGTGGGAGAGGCAACTGGCTGTGCTCTGGGGGCTGCAGCCTCCAGACTCAAAGATAACCCCATCTAGTGGAAATCAGTGTATACCACTGTTAGGAAGTTGTTCAGAGAAACAATTTTTGTATATAACTCTCTACAGGAACATTGGAATTGCCTTTCATTGCCCATGATGGTGACACCAAACAACAGAAAGTTTTATTTTTTTTCCAGACTACTACTCAGTGGCTACTGAGCTGCAACATTTCAGTATGGAAAACCAGGAAATAGGCTAAGTATCAAATTTTCAGCCACCATGTAGGCAAGTGCTGAAGCACCAAAATCCTTGTGGTTGCTTGTACCTAATGAAAAGCAGTAAACACCATGCTTCAAGGAAAAGCTACAGAGCCATCTGGAAAAAAAAAAAAAAATCTAAATCAAATGAACTTTACATGTGAATTACTTTAACAAGTGAATATATCACTTTAAAAAAGTGAAATGAAGCAGAAGAGTGCCCAGATTTGTTTTCATTGCATGAAAAAAAAAATTTGCTAAAGGAAAAAGAAAGTTACATTATTTAGAGAACTGCATTTTTGAAAAGTATAGTAATGTCTGGCTTGCACCTAAAGTTCTCTTTGCAGGAGGCAATTAACAGGAGAGTAAGGAAGATTCCTGCTGTGTTTTACTTATGACTCACCTGTGGTTACCAACAGAATAAGACACTGGGCCAAAGAGTAGAGGCACCCAAGTTTCCACATTTAGCTGTAAGCTTCAGACTGAAATCAACTTAGAAACTATGAACTACACTGCCCCATTTTATAGCAGGATGCTATTTCTAGACTGTACTGAGGAGATTTAAGATAAGCCTGAAAATTCTTTAAATGCAATTTGTTATTTATGTAGATGGGGGCATGAAAGACACCTTCTCACTCTTATTTGGTATTTGTTATTATTACTTCTGTGTTGATGAACCAATTATTTGCTGATTCCTAACAAACAAGACTCTCAGCCTTGCCTTCTATAAAGAGTTATTTTTCAAGTCTTTAAGCAGCTCACATTTAAACAGCCTTATTTAAACACCTTTCTCATCACTTTCAAGAATAAAAGAATTAGATAAATGTGAAGAGTTGAATTTGCCAAAATAGCAGGTGAGAACACAGGCACTGCTGAAATTATGAGTCCATAAAAGAGTATGAAAATTCTTTTTTTTGTCTACCCTTGACATTTTTTTCCATGTTTAATGTTCTATCTAGAACTGGAAATGACTTTTTTCTTCCCATTTAGTAAACCACTTTCCATAAATTATTACATGCTCATTACATGCTGTATTCAACTTTTGCTATTGGTCCCAAATGTTGCAAGGTAATGGGGTTCAAAAATAGCAATCCTGCACATTTCACTGGGTAGGCAATTGGTTATGAGGCACCCAATTCTCAACAGTTCCTACTTACCCTGCACTGAGCACAGCAGTGGGATGGAAAGGGTTTGAGCCATTTCATGGAGTTACAGACCCTGTCCTGCCCAGAGGGTTGTGTTCATTAGGAATTCTAGGAAGGTGGAACCCTGAGATGTTTTGCTGCAGATGAGGAGACAGTTGCTTCCACCTCTGCTCAGTCAATACCCTCTGTCTAATGCAAACCCTTTAGTTATTGAGCTTGGGAAGCTACCACAAGATCCTACCTGGAAGCCTCCAAAATTTGGTTTTAATACTCAGAGCCTCATAAAGAATTATGCGTAAACTAGATTTGGATTTCTTACGGCAACTTGGAATATACTTTAAAATGCAAAGATGCAGCAAGGATTGGGCCTGCTGAGCTTGCCATTTCCAGAGCTGAGTTGGTGCACTCTCTGTGCTCTATACCCAGTGTTCCTCTCCACCAAGAAGGACAAGCGTTTCCATGGGACCTTCTTCTAATCTCAGCATTTTGTGCAAATTCATGATACTTCACTGTTTCTGTGGGGAAGCTGATAAGCAAATTCTGAAATTTCTTATTTGCAGAACAGGCAGAAATAGAGACAAAAGGAGTTGCCAGAGGCCATGCAGTCAACAGAAGAGCCTGTTTTAGGGCACAGATAAGATTTAGCATCTACAGTATCCAAAATAATGCATTAAATAATTTGCCAAATATTTCAGTATCAGCTCTTTCTTTGGGGAAGGAACTGCGTCACTTTGTGTGATTGCAAACTTTGGGCAAACAAAGGACTATGTAATAATCATATCTTTCAAAGATTAGAACTTTACACTTTAGCAATGAATCATTTCTAAAACAAAGGCAAATGAGGAAGAAGGGGGAGGTCATGAATAGATCCCTGATAGACCAAAATCTTTTCCCACAAACAAGATGTTGGGACATTGTGCAAAGATATGTAGTAAAAGTTTTGTTTAATTTCTTGCCCTCTAAATATGTTCCTCCCAGCCCATTGTGGAGAACATGGAAAATTAATTTGAACTAAAAAAAAAACAAGTACAGCACCTTGACATTTATCCATTCCATACACCATGAATATCTGATTGTAGCAGCACTTTTCAGGATCAATATGAAAATACTATTGCAACTGCTGCGCAGAGCTGAAGGGTGACAGTCAGCGTGACACATTCCAATATGTTTCCAAGAGAATCACAGAGTGTCATTATCAGCAACTTCTTACCTGACAAGATTGCAAATTGCCTGTGGAGCTGCTCTATTATATCCACTGCTACCAGCGGCCGTATCTCCTGCTGCATGATTTCATCTGTGCAAGGGAAAACAGAAATCTTCAGTGAGCTCATATAGCCTCAATGACAATTTTTTCCTCCTTTATCAACCCAGCAAAACAAAGATGACACTCAAAGAAAAAGGGCCTAGCTGGACTATTGCCCGAGCTATTATATGACTGTTGTGGTAAAGATTATGATACTTACAGAGTCTCCTCTTCAGCTTGTTAACTTTATCTATTGCCTTGTGATTTCAGAGAGATCATGGAGCTTTCCATAAACCAGCTCCAGTAGGTTTGCCAGAGCTCGCCACGGGTTTGCTCAAGCTGACAGCCTGCTCCTCAGCACTTCAGGTTCCTTATTAAGTCACTGCCTTTGGCCTCCCACTACAGCAGTTTTTCAATATTTGAAACAGTAAAGTCTATGCCTCATATATGGCCCTGTTCCACCCTGAACTCCCAGATCTCTGCTGGAGGACTTTGTGTAGCCAGCCAATCCACAACAGTTTCCTTTCCTAATGCTTTTTCCGCTACAAGTAAATACATAGTAAAAGGAGGAAGTTAGAGGCTGTGAGACTTTCTTCTCATGAAAACAAAGCCTGTATTTTGAAGTAAACACTAAAAAGTTAAAAAGTAACTTGGCAAGTAGCTGGGCAAAAATTACTTCAACTTTTGTGTGTGATCTATGGAGTGCAGAGCAATTATAGTCTCACACGGAGCTAATTTGATCTCTTTTTGTAGCAGGTGCACCCAGTTATTTTCCCCACTCTCTGCATCAGTCCAAAGCAGCAACATTTACTGAGAAACATCTGCCAACAAAACTAGCAGGATCAAGGTTTATGCTATAACAACACCTATTTGAACTACTCCTTTAGCCACTGTACAGAACAACAACCAATCCTGATGTTGTACAGATCACCTCTAAGTGCCCAGACAACAGGTGGAAGGAAGGTGGCTGGGTCTGGATAGACCACAGACCTGAGCCAGGGCAGGCAGTTGCCCCATTTAAGCACCAAGATCTTAACTGATGTGAATTCAACACAAGCACTGAAATACTTTTGTGCACCTGGTTTTAAATCAACAGTCTAGAAGGAGAGAGAGGGGTCAGAGATTACCTTCTTTCTCCTGCATCCTAGTGTACTGCCCAAAATACCTTCTCTGTCTTGATTTCAGACATCCACTCTGATGCTTTACAGAACCAGGGATTCTAGGTTTTAAATGACACAATGTCATTTGAAAAGTTCTATGTTCATTTTCAAACACTTCACTAATGCCTTGAGACAAAGCAGCTGAAGAGCTTCTGTCACAGCAGGTGACACACAATGTGAAAAGAAGTTGCACAGATTTTGGCTGATGCACAAAAAAGGCAACCATTCCAAAGAACTAGGGGGGCAGAAGGGGAGGAGTCAAGAAGGATAATTCTGGAAATCCTCCTTTTTGAACTTAGTAGGAGAAAATGCAAACTCGAATGAGTGATGTTTTTGAGGTGGGACCTTCTTTTCCATCCTGTTTCTGAGGCTCACTATCAGCTCTCTGATTCTTGACATTGTAGGTGGCAAAAGCAACAAGGAATCACTAAGGGGCTTGGTGTCAGAGATGGTTATACATTCCCAAAGCAAACAAAAGAAACCCATTAAGTTTTCCTCTTTTACTCTGCAATTTCTTCCATGCATATCCAGAATGGGACCTGGGAGGGAAACTGCAGAGCAAATAAAGGAAAGCAAACTAAAATCTTTTTGAATATACAAGGTTATTTTTAGATAGTAGAGAATACTATAAACCTGATTTCTCTCTAGCTGCTGAAGAACAGCTTGTTGATAGCCCTGTTCGGAGTCAGATAAACACTATACTCAAGGAACCAGCAGCAAAACGGTCCTGTAATCTATGAACACAGTTCTCAGCAGGTACTGAGAAATCCCCAGATTATTGGTCCAAAGGTTCTACCACCCCTGAGAAAGTACACTGGATGTATCTCAGAATCACCATAATAGTAACAGATTTGCCCTTTTCATAAAAGGTGTTGGCAGCGAGATGAAGGCAGAAGAGAGAAAAACTGGTGACTGTAGCTGATGGTAACAAAAAAACAATCAACATGGAAATATGAGAAAGGAAAATCAAATTAATAATTAAAACAAAGCTTGGATTCTCAGAACTGAGAAACTTCGGGGTATCATCCATTGAAGGAAAAACTGTTGATTTCAGTATCCAGAAGGTGCAAAGTTATTGTGACATCTGTGCAGTCCCACAGGTGGTTAGGTACATTCAGGTTTGACCAGGACCAAGATTATGACAAACAGCTGCAAAAATAGGGAAAAGGTTTCTACAATGGATGACAGAATCACAAGGAGGTTTGACAGAAACAGAAAGTTTACTAGAAAAGGAGCCACCACTTCTGAACTCTCAGAGACTTGCCCAGCCCTCTAGGGTAACAAGCCTGCCAGTACTTTACTTTGTGTTTGATGTTTGCCAATATGAAGACATCATTAATATCAACCACTCTTGAGCAAAACTGAAATTCCACCACCCACCCAACACCTATTTAGCTTTATTAGCTTTCTCTAAACATAGCTTGGTTTCTGGTTTCTAAATACCCTTTTTATTTCAAAATATTTTTGCAATGTAAGGATAAGATGAAGCAAAAGAAACAAGAACTGCAGAGTGTGAATTAGTTCTCATCAAGTCCCCTGCCTGGGCAAGACAAACCACATGGGATTGCTGTGAAACCCACACTCAAGAGGAGATGTTCAGATGATGAGAAAGGTGATACAAAACACATTCGGTGACTAGGAATCACACATTCAATAAATCAGTACAGTTCACACACTGGCATGCTGGGAAAAGAAATTGTAGCAGAAGAAACTAGCAGGAAACTGAGAAAATCTGAGAAAACAAGGGAAGGTGCCTCACGAGCCCAAACAGCAAATCAGATCATGTGGCTATGACATGTCAGCATCTTGTAGCCAACAGCACTCAAGGTCCCATTTGCCCATTTTTATCTTCCCCTAGGACAGTGCTTAAAGGTAGTTACTCCCCAACATGGGAGAATTTGTAACACCATCACAGCACAGAACTTGCAGTAGAAGTCCCAGTCCTTGAAAACATAATTACCTGGGGCTGCTGGAGGAAGCTTTCAATCTTTGACTACAAGAAAAGCTGGAAAAAAATCTTATAGGCAAACCAAAAGACACAAGTCTGGGTTTGTTTCAAAGCTACACATTAGCCTAGCATCACTGAGTATTAATCATTTATATCTTTCACTACCTTTGTGTCAGGAAGCTCTGAAGCCTCTCTGGCGTGTACTGCAAGACATAAGGCAGCAGAAGTGCTGTTCACCCTCCTGGACACAAGCAAGGTACCATTTTTCTGTGGGACTGATATTCCAGCTGAGAAACCCCTTCTTCAGGGTGACATGAGCTGGTATTGAGCTGACAGCTTCAGGTTCATAGACACTTCAGAGAAATTTACTGATGATAGCCACATTTTAACACTACACAGAGTCAAGAGGAATGTTTCAGGAAGCTGAAAAGCTGCAGGAACTGGACAAATATCTTATTTCATTGTACCCCTTGGTACAGAGGAGATCAGACAACTCCTGGTCTCTTCAGAGCAGTCCCATTCTCTGATAAAATCTGTATAGGCATGCAACTCGAGATCTTATCAAAACATACACCAGCCAAGTGTCTGGAACATATTTATTTTGGGAAACTTGACTCAGACATTTCCCACCTTCTGTGTGATTGCTCTTGGGGTCTTCTTTTTTATTAAAGAGGCAGTTATTCATAGACTCTAAAATTTGAAAAAGAAAAATTTAGTTGTTTGGTGTTACATGAAACAATGCCAATCCACTACACAGGTCATCAAAGATGAACATTTACATATACCATACTTGAGGTATGTTCATCATTACTTGAATTAATTGAATTTGTCAGGACAATTTGAATATGAATACGGATGTGATAAGAGAGGAAGAAAAATAAAAGACACATGTCAGTTCATCTGCTCTTGGTTCTCCTCTTAAACTGCTATAAATTCAATTCCTAGCAGAGGCCAGTTTCAATGCAGAAGAATTAGGCCTTACAGTTTTGCTTCCCAAGGTTTTCTACCAAGGGGAAGAAAAAGAAAAGCAATTACTATAGCCATCTGTCTGGCACAGCTTCTCCTCCTTCTAGCTCTCTAGGGAGGGTTACTGCAACTGTGCTATCTGAGCCTCAAGGGGAAAGCCCATAATTCCTCATTCTAAAATGAAACCTGCTTGGGCTTACACACACACACACACACACACACACACACACACACATACTTGTTTATTCTGTGTCTCACCCAGCTGTATGTGCTCCCACAGCAGGTCTGGAGGAGCTACACCAACAGCAGAAGATTAAAGGCCAGCAGAAGATTAAAGGCAATAAAGAATATCCTCTTGTTCTTTCTTCTCTGAGCAGACACAAACTAGTTTACATGCTAATGGCAACCAATTGTTTCCAATAGCTTTGGAAAGGTGACCTGCTGGAGTGAGGGACTGGACTGCACCAAGCAGATTGACACAGCAGTGCCTGTTGCTCCACCAAGGACAACTAAAGGCCACCAACCACTACAGGACACTGGCGTGTTTTTGTTTCTAAGTGGCTGAAGGCTACAACTGCCTGGCCTTCTGCTGACTGCAGGAGAGGATGGCTTCAATCCCCTATCTGAAGCCACTATTCTTGGAATAATGGGTTACAAATTTCCAGAGGAAAGTTCATCTCTTCTTAATGACAGCCTAATATGTAATTCACAGGGAAAGAAGACAGCTGGGAGTGAAAGATAATATTTTCTAGAATAGTGGAATACATCAGCCTACTTCTACTTTGTACAAGCTCTGTCAAAAGTTATGCTCAAAGTTTTCGTAATTGTTTGGAGAAAAATCAGATTGGTGATGTGATGGAAAAGGGTCAGACAGGGTTAAGCATGAGGTCAGATATTTCTTGGCCTGATATTTCATTTGAAGAACTTACAAGGATAACCTCACATTATATGTTTTTATGCTCCTTAAAAAGTACCAA